GCATGGCCAAGAGAAACATGCCAACTAAACTTATTCTGTGAGACAGCAAACTATTTCCATCAAGTTTTCAGAGGAGAAAGTATTTGTGAGATGGTGTGATGGGGTGGGGAGCGGAGGGGAGGAAGAACTGCCCTTAGCAGGGAGGCTACAGTGGACAGGTATACCAAGGGTACAGTTCCCACCCTTCTCTGCCCTACACTTTTCTTCCCCTCACACATCTGAACAAAGTGAATTGTGTAAATGGGCCTTACTACAAAATGCACAACTGGAGCAATTAGGCATGGATAGCTCATTCCAGATAACGAGAGCTTTCAGTGAGACCACTGGATGAAGTCTTTTGTATTCTTCTATTCCCTGTGGCATGGCTAGGAGAAAGAGGTTATGGGCCATGAGCTGTGGAAATTCTTGCTTAATACATTGCCTTTGTTGGGCTGTAGGCAGCTGCAGCAGTAATGTACCAAGTGACCCTATGGTGCATGGCCAGCACAGTCCTGTGGCCATAGAAATGACAGATTTTTCCTATGTGGGTTGCCTGGAGCACTCCACAGCTGCAGCCAAAAGTTACGGTCAGAGCAATTTTTCCTGACCAATGTGGAGCTATTTTCAAGTGCTACAAGTTCACTGACTGGAGAAAGCAAAATGAATGAGGTCATGAACGATGTAAAGAAATGATCCTTTCGTAAGGATCCGCTATCGACTGTGATGGTGCTGTGTTTCAGTTGTGTACCAGGATGGTACCAATTGGCCCATGCTGCACTACAGTTGCACAGCCAATTCAGAATTGCCTTTTTTTTTCCCTCAGTTATCTACATGCAGGTAAGACTGTTGTTCTCTGCGTATGTGTACTTAAATCTTCTATTCCTTTATGTGATTTCTGTGGTGTCTGTAACAGTATTTGATATTATTTTAAGGCAGCTCTAAGGAAGTCAGTACATAGAAGCAATGATTTTTCAATTTTAATTTTTGTTGACTAATTGTATGTGATAATTCTTAGTGCACTTGTATGATGATGTACTTTAAAACAGGCAGTCTGGGAGCATATCTAATTTTGGACATCCCAGTCTTAACATGGCCTATGAAACCACTCCCAGAAGGAGGACGAAGTAGTGTGTATGACTGAAACACAGACATATCTTTGCAGTGAAGTTACATCAAGTTATGCCAATTTAAGTCATACATTCCCGGTGAATTCTGAACTGACACAAGTTCAGTAAAAGCAAGGCATCCCTCTCACACCCTTGAATGATGTCTGTTTGCTTCTTCTTGTGAGCACAGACAGAAGACAGAACAAACCAGGAGTCAGATTCTGAAATATTATCTGATCCTAGGCTGGAAAACAAAGTGCTGAACACAGCTCCATTCAATACATGACTGGAACAGAGGTTCCAGTTCTCTAAAAGCTTTGCAAAAGAGACAGAGAGAGGGATGAAATGCATGGGTTGGGTGCAGTCTTCTACCCAGAAGGACCCTGGAGTCAATGCTATTTTGTCAGATTTAAATCAATATAAAAAAATGAGGCCTTTTCTGGAAAATTTTGGTTTGTTCATATTACAATATGTTTACTAATTTCAGAGTTACTGGTAAAACTCTGTCCCAATAAAATCAGAATCTCTGTCTTTTTATCACCAGTATAGATCCCATGTTTTCCCCAGCTTTTGCTTCCATCCTGCTTTCTTTCTCCCTTGAACAGTACAACTAATGCTGTCTTATGTGCATACACCACTATTATCCTTAGAGTACAGTCAGAACATAGTTAATTTACTACTGCCTGCTGCTTGCCTTTGTTGTCATTAACAATCTTTGTTTAATAAAAAGCATTTTTTAAAAATGGTTTTCCTGTAGTACTTTTATTTTTCCCAGAAAAGGCGTTAAAATTAATTTGTTTTCACTCAGTCTATATTCCTGAGTGAATACAGCAAGGAGCAAAAAAAAAGATAAACATGTGAGAGAACCCCCAAAGAGAAGGTAATGTAGGAAAAAACAACTCTGATTTAGGTTCAATACACTCCTTTTTTTTTTTTTTTTTTTCAGATTTGAAAGCAAAAAGACTGACAGATTGAAGACTGGCAGAAAACATCACACTGCAATTGTGCTTTCAGTGTACTGGGAAGATGCTTGCTTCCTTTCCCCACTGCTCCCTGCAGCTTCTTTATGGGATGAGGCTGAAGGTAATCCTGTGCAGGCAGATCTGACCTAAAGGTCAGAAAGGCTTCACTGGATTTTCTGTTGAAAATGGATTGTACTCTTTGCTGATGCCATACATTTCACTAACCCTCCTCATGTGCCGCTGTTTCCCGTGCACATTTTTCACATATAGTCTCTGTGCTACCTGGACTTGAAGAGATACATTACTGATACTGAAAGTACAGCACCATTACATATCAATTGCCCCATTTTGTATTGGGCCACAAGAACTGAAGAAGAAAATTAAATTTTCCAGAGGAAAAAAAATGATTTGAAAGAGACTCTAATTCTTCACTGGTTACCATTCCAGAAGAGAAATTGTGCCACTAGTTGCACCGGACTTACGGGAATTTGATACAAAGCAGCAGCAGCTATCCTGGTTCAATCATTTCAGAAGGACATATTGACACATAAGTGTTCTAAAATGCCTTGGATGCCCTTTCTGTAGATCCTCTCTAATGAAAGCTGTGAAAACTGAAAGGTATGCTTTATGAGTACACCAGCTGTCTCCTGCACAGTGTTTGTCAGAGACATAAAGGCTTATTACAGGGAGAGTAGGGGATCACATGCACACACAAAGAACAACAGGCAGTGCTGTAGAGCTGAAATTCAGCAAAGTTTTGCACGGCTGGCAATAACGCAATAACCCTTTCAGATTTGCAGAACTTCCTCCTCCTTCTTAGCCTTTTCAAACTTCTGGAAACAATTAAAAATGTAGCATTTTCCACAATTATTGTGAGTTTTTGAAATGAGAACATTTTGATGAAATGATGCTGAGGGATGTGGTTTAATTGGCATGGTGGTGATGGGTTGGAGGTTGGACTAGATGATCTTAGTGTTCTTTTCCAATTAATGATTCTATGGTTCTATAATTCCATGATAATAACAGTTCTGACAGTGAATGCCACAGAAGTGTTCTATGGGAGCTGTACGGGGAGTGCTTCCTTGTCTCATTTAGACTAGATCCATTGCCATTCAATGAGATTTCTGTTTTAGGGAGGAGAGATGATGTGTGATGGGAATTTCGTGGTCTGATGCATCGCAGAGTATGAAATATGGCAGGGGAGATCCGCTCTATCTATGAGAATTAAGACATGAGGCCATTCAACTGCAGCTCCATCAAGACAGTGGAACAGCATAACAGAATTTAAATATTTGGGTTCCAGATATTTTACTCATAACCTTTTTTTTTTTTTTTTTTTTTTTTTTTTCCATTGTAAGAAAAGTCCTAATAAAAGCAATGCACTGATGAAGATCACAGAATCACAGAATCGTAAGGGTTGGAAGGGACCTCCAGAGATCATGGAGTCCAACCCCCCCGCCAAAGCAGGTTCCCTACAGCAGGTCGCACAGGTAGGCATCCAGGCAGGTCTTGAACATCTCCAGAGAAGGAGACTCCACCACCTCCCTGGGCAGCCTGTTCCAGTGCTCCGTCACCTCACTGTAAAGAAGTTCTTGTGCACATTTGTGCAGAACTTCCTATGCTGCAGTTTCCGGCCGTTTCCCTTTGTCCTGTCTCCACTCACCACTGAAAAGAGTCTGGCCTCGCCACTCTGCCCCCCACACCTCAGATATGTATAGACCTGGATCAGGTCTCCTCTCAGTCTTCTTTTCTCAAGGCTGAACAGACCCAGTTCACTCAGCCTTTCTTCATAGGAGAGATGCTCCAGGCCCTTCACCATCTTTGTGGCCCTCCGCTGGACTCTTTCCAAGAGATCCCTGTCTTTTTTGTACTGGGGAGCCCAGAACTGGACGCAGTACTCCAGATGAGGCCTCACCAGGGCAGAGTAGAGGGGGAGGATCACCTCCCTCGACCTGCTGGCCATGCTCTCTTTAATGCACCCCAGGATGCCATTGGCCTTTTTGGCCACAAGGGCACACTGCTGGCTCATGGCCAACCTGTCGTCCACCAGGACGCCCAGGTCCCTCTCCGCAGAGCTCCCCTCCAGCAGCTCATCCCTCAACCTGTTCTGGTGCATGCAATTATTTCTCCCCAGATGCAAGACTCTACACTTGCTTTTGTTAAACCTCATCTGGTTTCCTACTGCCCAGCTCCCCAGCCTGTCCAGGTTAAGATCCCTATGTAAAATGGAGGAACGCAATGTAGCATGGCTGCTGCTCCCTGGAATGGGCCGTGGAAGCGATCTGGAGGGCATCTTCCCTCATTAACAAGGAAAATGTGAGTTCCATCACACAGAAGGCACAACCCTTCCTCCCAGAGCCACCCGTGAGAAACTCACTCTATCTATCTTCTGTTTGAAATTTAAATCTGAGGCTAATGCCGCCCACCATATGAAACGAATGTGATTAAAACGACGGCTCCTTTTATTTTCAATTAAAATACATGGGAAGCGTTACCTTCCCGCACCACATGCAAACGCGGGCGCATAATGCGGCGCTGGGAAACCGGAACGTGCAAACCCACTGACCCAGTTCCACCCTCACGGTGGATTGAAATGCAAAAAAAAAACAACCAAACCAAACCAACCAACCAACCAAACAAACAAAAAAAGAAAACTTTTCCCCTCGCTTCTTCCTCGCATGCCATCCAGGGCAACAAAGTAAAACGCGCAGTATAAAAAAGTGGCAAAATGAAAAGCGTTAGAAGGTAATTCCTCGGGGCTTTCTACCCCGCCTAGGGGGCGCCGCGTTCGGCTGCGCTCGGCTCCGCTCGGCCTCACTCGGTTCCACTCGGCTCTACTCGGCTCTTTTCGGCCCCTCTGTTCTTCGCCCTGCCCCCTCTTCGACGTCACTCGCCGGTCTCCAGGCAACGGCCCTGGAGCGCCACGAGCCGGGCTGGCGTTGGCGGTCCGGTCATGGCTCTGCCGCTGCTGCCCGGCTTCTCCGTCGGCCGGAACGTGAGTGGTACAGACGGGACGTCCCTTCCTTTCCCTCTAGCCTCGTTGCCCGAGGGCCAGAGGGAAGAAAAGATGAGCTTAAGGCTGTCGGCAGGGCTGGCAGCAGGGGGCGTGGAGAGGGCGTTGCGGAGCTGAGCGCATCACTGCCTGCAGGGATAATTTGCTGAGTACTGTGCCGTGAAGTGATGTGGAAGGGGAGGAAGGATTTGGGAATGGCACTGGAGGTGTTGCCTTTAAGAAGCAGACAGAGCAGTACGGGCTTTCTTAATAAGTGTGAAATATCTGGAGGGGAATCTGGTTTTCACGCTGTGAGCTGAAGGAGAGGGGACAGACTCTTTAGCAGGCACTGTGGTGATGGAACAAGGGAGACGGTTTCAAACTCAAAGAGGGTGGAATTAGGTTGGATATAAAGAAAAAGTATTTTATAGCGAGGGTAGTGATACACTGGAACAGGTTGCCCAGAGATGTGGTGGATGCCCCATCTCTGCAGACTTTCACAAGGCTGAATCACCTGGGCAACCTGACGTAGCTGTGGTGTCCCTGTTCACTGCGGGGGAGTAGGGCCAGGTGGCCTTTAAAGGTCCCTTCCAACTCTAAGTATTCTATGAAATGACCAGCAAAGCCCTGGTTTCTGCAGCCCAACTGCTGGGTGCTTGGCTGGCTTCTGAGCCTAGTTCCTCCTGTGAGGGGTAGTGCCGAAGGTATAGGGAGGAAGAGTTTCCAAATGGTTTGTTAAGATGCATGCACTAATGCCAACGATACCATGAGCCTCAATGCCTCTTAAGATGAGATTGCTCCATGCTGTTAGCATATCTGGGAGCCCACTCTATGAGCAATAAATCAGCCTGCATGAAGTGGAAAATCTCTAAAGAGGAAGGACAGGTAGAAGCAAGTGTAGCTACCTAGGTAGTCATATAAGGAGAATGAAACTGCGTAGAAATATGTGGGCTCCCCAGCCTCATTGGTGTGTGAGCATTGTGGGGTACCTGCCAACACGTCACCTCTTGCAGGACCTCTTACAAGCAGCAAGGATATTCCATGTGACTTCTTCCCCATGGTCAGCAGGCTGGTACCGTTATTTTAGAAGGGAAAGGAGAAAAGGGTTGGTGGTGAACACTGTTTTCTGAATTCAAATTTGTATTGTAAAGAATTGGTTATGTATGTACCACTTCAGATAGCTGCTAAGTGGGCACATCAGAAGCAGTGTAATTGGTGTGTACCATTCTTATCTGCTAGGTGGAGATAGAATAACAAATTGCTATGCAGGAACTAATTGTTCTGTAGTTTTCATTTTAAATCAGTTGATGGAGATTATTGTTTTTGGGGTTGTGATAGAGCTGTCTTCAGAGCCCTACTGCAGCTGGCTTTGGAGAAGCTTTGTAACAGAGATAAGACTCAGTGTTTGACTACACATGGTTGAGGAGAGTTAACATACAGAAAACAGTGAACACGTCATACTGAGTGCATACAGTGCATGTATGTGCAATGAGAACTACAGATGAGAAAACAAGTTAAAATCACCACAAGACGGTGTTGTGATGCCATAGTTACACTGTTGTGAAAACTCCTAATTGCACTTTTTGTACAGTCCTTAGTTTAGTGGGAGTAATAATGATAACTGGCCCTACTTGAAAAGCATTTGATCTCTTCATAGCTGTTGGCTATTCAATTTAATTTCATTTTGTACACTTCCGCAAGTGAGAGGCCAAGAAGAACACATTTAAAAGAGGAAAAAAATTAAAAATGACTGCCATAGATACATTGATAAGGAAACATTTTCTTGCTGGTACTGTGACCACTGCCATCAGTGTTTCTTATCACACAGAAACAGTAGTAGCAAAGCATTTCCTGAAGAGGGATGAGCAGGGGATAGGGAACTGCTGCTGCTGTCAGTCCTTGGTTTATAATTATGGGTATTAATTCCACTCTTGTTCTTGTCACTGTTCAAGTTACTGCTGCAATCCTCTGTTCTCTGCCTTCAATACTACCTGCTGCATATAGAGGCTCTCAAAAGGTGGAAGAGGTATACGTATCCATTTGGATGTTTTTAATGAGAAGGGTGAGCTCCCACAGAAAACCAGGGCTTTAAGGTGGTTACAACACCAATAACTCCAGGGCAGCAAGGAGTGCCGCTGGCAAAGGGGAATTAAGAAATCCTTACACAGCGCTTGCATCTTTGTGTCTAAGGGTCACTGGCTCTTGCAGTACAGCTCCTCTACGATTATTATTACTCTCTAACAGCTCTACCAGGAGTGCTTGCTTCCTATCCAGCCTGCGAGCAGAAAAGCTTCATCTCAAGCTGCGTGCATCTTCCCTTTGCTGCTGAAGGCCAAAGACTGCAAGGCCTGGTGCTGCAAAAAGGCAGCAGCCCCTGTGTGATGTCTATGTTATTGTTCTTCCCCTTAACTGTAACTGACTGGTACCTCTTTCCAATTCATGCCCCAGAGCAATGCTGCCGCTGTGGTTCTGTTTAACTGAGACAAAACCTAACTGCTCGGGCATTGCAGCAAATTAGAGTAGAGGGTAATACACCAAGGTGATAGACACTTTCAAAATAGCTGGAGTTGTTCCTATGGTAACATAACATAGCATTTCCTCAGCTCTGAGAGAAGAGCCGGGCTGAAGGTGCCATGCATGTGAGGACTGGTTTCCCCTGCCCTGACAGCACTGGGGAATGGCCTTACCCTGCCTGGCGGGGCATGGAGATCCCCTGTGGTGCACCACCCTGTTGAGTTAAGGAACATGGTCATTTATTTTTGTAAATACATACTAGCTTTGTTCCTGTCACCAAAGCCAACATAAAATAACCAAAGAAAGACCAAACACTGCTGTATCTTCCACCTGCAAATTCTGGCTGGTATGAAAATTGTGCAGTAGAGAGGTTTTCAGCTTTGCCAATACAAGTTATGTATGTGCCAACACAAAAAAAAAAATCACATGCCTCAATACCCACGTTTCATGCTGCTCATGGCAGAAACACTACGTGTAAGAGGTTTGCTCTGTTACTCCAAGAGTGTGAGTGTGGACTGTGGCAGGAATGTTTCTGGTGACAGTACAGTCATGCTGTGACTTCCTCTGCTAGTGTTACTGATCCACCTCCTGCTGTGAAAGGCACCTTCTGATAGCAGGCTGCTGTTCTTGCCTTGTATCAGCAGCTGATGGAAAGGACTATTCCTGTGGGTTGGATTAAGTGAGTTCTCTCTGACCAGTGCTTTTCTGTGCCTGAGGTTTGGAATCCTCCTCAGAGAGGGAATTCTTTTCAATTCCAATCTCTTGGAGACTCAGACAATGATTTTATAAATCTTGGGGGATAAAAGTGCATACTTGAGAGTATCCATTTCTGCTGCAAACTCTATTGGCATAGAACAAATACCCTCTTTTCCTTGTTTATTGCAGTAGCTTGGAATTGCCCTCACTTGTGCTACCATTGCTGTCCCTGGATTTTTCCTGGTTTAACTATTTGCTGCTGCTCTGTAATCATTGCTGTCAAAATGGGACATTCGTTTTCCTTGTCAGAGTGCTTTCCAAGCTCTTTATGCTGTGCCTTCCCCTGCTCCAGGCTCCGGCCTTCATTCCTGAGCCCCTTCCACTGTTTGCTGCCTCACTCCCCAGGTCTGTCTGCTCACAGCCCTGGCCCAAATCTTTCTTAGCTTTCCATCAGGGCTGCATTTTTGATTGCTTCCTTTATACTAGACTGTTGTCTCCTCTCAGGTTGTCCCAGCTCTGGCAGTAAGAGCAAGCTTGTCATTCTGCTCCAGGCAGAAAGATGGTGCATCACCTTCTGGGACATGTTAGAGGGACACCACTGCAGCTGGGAACAAAGTCTTAGGGCAATCCTCCTTTTACAATACCACTCATCCCTAACCATACTGAAATCTCTGAAGGTGAATGGAGACAATACCTGTGGCTGAAATGTGGCTTTTCAATAGGAAATGGTTTTAAACTGAGACAGGGGAGGTTTAGGTTAGATATTAGGAGGAAGTTTTTCACTCAGGGGGTGGTGACGCACTGGAACAGGTTGCCCAAGGAGGCTGTGGATGCCCCATCCCTGGAGGCATTCAAGGCCAGGCTGGATGTTGCTCTGGGCAGCCTGGTCTGGTGGTTGGCGGCCCTGCACATAACAGGGGGGTTGAAACTGGATGATCATTCTGGTCCTTTTCAACCCAGGCCATTCTATGAAATGAGTGCTTGCTTTGTGAGAGACGCTATTTGTGTTGTGAGAACTGGTGCTACTTGTCTCACTTCTGTTCACTGGCGTGACGTGTTTCAAGAGGGCAGGATTCTGCATGGATTTCAGTGGCATAGCATGCAGCATTTACTTGTATTTCTGTTCTCTAGCTGAAACAACTAGGACACCATATCAGCAGTCCAAAGTAGTTCAGAAATGTCACTGTTCATCCCAATACAGGATTTGAGCTAAGACTCCACAGTGCAGCTGCAATTAAAAATGAACATGGGGAAGAGTAACACAGTGCTGCCAGTGGCTTTTGCCCTAACTCCCCGTGGCATTTGCTTCACAAGATGTGGCCCCTGGGACAGTGGCTGTGGTGACAAATTTCTACCTGTGTTTGGTTCAGCTGAAAAGTGCAGCTTCCTGCTGTGACTGTACCAGAGTATTAAAGAGCAAGATGCTGAGAGCACAGGGCAGTGCACCCCAGTGGCTGAGTCCACAAAACTTCAGAGAATCCCAACCTTCACGTTCGTCATTGTTGAATGTATCCCCAATATTTATTTCAGGCTCACCGCACAGAAAATGGCCAGCTTTGTTCAGCTGATCTACAGCCAGCATTAGCGCAGCTGACACAGTAAAGCTCTTTCCCTGCACTGTCACAGATTTCTTTTAGAAGTCGCTTAATGCTGCTGTGGATGTAATGTGATGTTCTGTCACTATTTTCGGCTGGATGCTGTCTGGGTTCGTTAGCTGAAGTTTCTCAAATGTCATTTTTCTCTTTTGCAATCTTCCATTGTAATTACTCTTTTGCTTAAAAAGAAAAGCCTTTTGCTTAAAACCTGCTCGTGTTTCTAGAGGAGACTTCGGTGATCTTCACAGAGGAGCTTATAAGTAGTACTGTGATTATTGATCTAAAATGATCTTTCTGTAAAAAGCTACAGGAACTCCACAAAAGATTCTTAATAGAATTGCAGCTGTTGGGCCACTTATTTTTCAAATCACACCTTGAACTCTGTTGTGATTTCAGTCCTAAGAAAATTTCCACCAGGAGCAAACATGGATTTCTTTGACAAACAATTTCTCATACTGTAACTGACCAAAGCCCAGTAAAGGAAGGACAGAAAATGCTTTTTGAAGAAGCTTTGAGGACATTAAGGGACTTTCCTTTGCTCAGGATAGCTGCCTTACTGTGCTTTAACAACTTTGCTTTTCTCCCTTACTCATGCTTTGGTAATAGGCAGAGAAGAAGTACTTGCTGTGCCAAAATGGATCTGCTGGTGTATGGAGCTTTTAGTGTAAATGAGATGTTTTTGCCCACAAATTTCCTTTTTAAATCTCAGCTTGACTCTAGCTATTCCATATTAGACCTAATAAATGCTGAAATCTCCCTCCTGTTCTGTCTTCTCCCCAGCTTTCTATCAGCTTATCAGGGAACAAAAGTAATAATAAAAAAGGGAACAGAACAAGAAAGGGCAGCTTGCTAGTTTCCAAAAAAGAGGGAGAAAACCATCCTTACTGGAAATCTGCTGGGGAGGAGTGGCAGACCCAGCCAGTTCTCCTTGGCCATCGTCCTCACCTGCAGAAACAGTGCTGTGGGCCTCAGGGAAGGGTGGGATGACCAAGGGAAGGTCTTCTCTTAATGCCTATACGTCAGTGCTTGTGCTGTGCACAGAAGCATGACTTTTAATATCACAGCTCAAAAATAAATACATTAAAAAAAAGGTGCTGATGTTAAATATTTTGTTTTGGGCATCTTTCCTGCAAATATGCAGCTCTTCTTTTAATCTTGTTAAATTCTTGGCTTGAGCGATGTTGCATGGCAGGGAGGCCCATAGGCCAACTTTGTTACACAATAAATATTTCCTTGTATCGATTTTGTCTTTTATTTCTTAAATAATTCAAGAACCCTTGTTCTTGAATAACTTTTTGTCCTCCTCATGTGTCCTTTATCTTATGCTACATGCCATTTGCCCTTTCTACTCACCTTTATTCAAAACTCTGCTTGCATTTTAGGTACTTCCTCTGGGGTATCCATACTCTCATTAATTCCTGCTATCAGTATGGGAGTCCCGTCTCACCTTGCAGCATCTGCTTTGAAGGGTGCTGCTTAGTCCAGCCTTTGTTAACCTAAGCAGGGTACGGCCATTGATTTTTATGGCATTAAAAATAATCAGTTATAAAAATAATAAGTAATGTGGGTTTTTTGCATACCACTGCCCTTGCATTATAAGCAAAATCTAAACTAAGGTAGGGATTGAGCTGTTCGTTGAGCTGAGGGGGAGCTCTCCTTCCTGTGTCATTGAGCTTAGAGCACCGTTGAGATTTTCACCTTCGGTGTGCACTAGTTTGTGTATATGAGCAGTGAATGTTATGAGCCAAAGGTTAGCTGCCTTTCAGATTCCTCACTCAATTTCATATTGGCAGAATAAAATAACTAGTCAGCTCCTTTCAGATTTTGCTGCTCCACTGCTTTCACTCTTCCCAGAATATTGAATGTGTATTGTATTATTCTGGACCACTCAAACGTTGCCATGATGAACAACATTTCTCTTGGCCAATTTTTATTCATGATGGTAATGCATTGTTGTCTACACCTTTTTGGGGAGCACTGGTTTAAATGTGTGGGCTCTAATTACTGTTGCTCAGCCTTCAAGGAATCATTAAGGTCGGAAAAGACCACTAAGAGCACCAGTCCAACCAGCAGCCCATCCCACCATGCCCACTGCCCACGTCCCTCAGTGCCACATCCACACGGCTCTTGAACACCTCCAGGGACGGTGACTCCACCACCTTCCTGGGCAGCCTGTGCCACTGCCTCACCGCTCTTTCTGAGAAAAAATTATTCCTAATATCCAACCCCAACCTTCCAAATGCAGTGGGAGAGCCAATTCTGTCCCTCTGCTACATTACTGACATATCTGCTCCAGTGGAGCTTGGAGAATTATGCTGTCCAGCCTTTTCATTGCCTGGGTCCTTCCTGTTCTCTTCCCTAGCATCAGTTTCTCCCCTTTCAGACTCAGCTTTCCTCACGGTCCCTCAGCCCCAGGCTGAGGGTTGGGGGCACAACTCAGCTGTTCCAAAGCATTTCAAGGATTTGAAGGAACGAGGAAAGGAGCAGAGTAAGAGGAGCTAACAGGTCAATACTGCCGCTAATGGGAGGAAGGGTTTGTGGTGCTGTCTCCTGTGTTTGCTCTTCCTGTTTGTCTGATCTGTGTGGGGTAGCTGCCTCTGTGTGAGGGAGCAGGCCAGTAGAGCAGGAGCATTCCCACAGGCAGGACTGGTGCTCATTGGAGACTTCTTTGCATCACTTCAAGGCAGACTCCAGGACTAGTCAAGAAATGTGAGCAGGCAGGATGGCTTTCTTTGCAGTTGGTTGTTTCTAAGGACTTGATCTGTAACTGCCTGAAAAACAATAATAATGTTAAAAAAAAAAAAATAAATTGCTACAAAGGTTGTCTTTTGAAATAAGCCTGGATACAATAAATTTTCTGTCTTTTGATTCAGCTCCAGATTCCCAAAATTGAAGTGTATTCAGGATTATGTATGTATTTTGCACTCCGCAATTCAAATGTGAAGAAGGTCTTCAACATAGGTTATGACAGCAGACTGTTTTCTGGGTGCTCCTGAAGTGTTTCTATTTGACCTGTGGGGTTCTATAGAGGAAGCTTTCCCCCCCCCCCCACTTTTTGCATTGTTCTCATGGGTGACTTGCTTCCTTATTCCATAGTCCTTATTGCGGGGAAGAAGAAGAGGGGGACAACAGCTGGTATCATCCTATTTTTCAGCCTGGCTATGTTACCAGAATGCCTTTCCATTTTGATCTGTAAGACAGGAAATTGACTACTGAAATAATGTCACTTCACAGGCAGCACTCAAGTTGTTACAGGTTCTCAGATAGTATTAAAGGTACTTACAGAAAAACTTCTATGTGATTTATCACCCTTGCATAGCTAGGTAACTCTTATGAATTTAAAACCACACATTAAAATGTCGTTTTCTCTCTTTGCTTCCAAATTTTTGACAGTTAGGGAAAGAAAAGTTCCACAGATCGCAGCACTGGGGCTACTGCAATAATGTTGCTATGCTGGTTGCAGAAGATAAACCTGGAATAGGAGGTGAACCATTACCTGGACAGAAGCTGAAACCTAAATCCAGCGTGTTTCCTGCAGAGCTTGGATGTGGTGCTCCTGCCTGGATAGCGTTTGACAAGCAGGTATGTGGAAATCAGTATCTGTATGTTTTTTTAGGAACAGATACAATATGACAGATGTGAAATTCAGTCAAATACTTCAGAAGATTAGTTTTTGTGTGGAGAAATGTTCCTAGACAAACAAAAAAGGTGGCAACTTCTGTTTTTCCATAATACTGATATGTTGTATAATTAATGTAGACATATGTTTTACAGCAATATACACAAATACTTCTGCATTGGGATACATCTCCTATGGGACATCATAAAAATAAGGGGGTAGTTAGTATATATATCTATTTAAAATAGTGATAGCAAATAATTGATTTGCAACAATGTACTACTTCTTTTCCATTTCATTGTTTTTCAAATGATCAAACAAGGAAATGTGTAGTTACAGGAATGTAAGAAAGGCCTATGTCCAGGAGAAAATCTGCATGACCACTAACCACAGTGCAGTTCTGTAGGATTAGAATTCCCTTATCTGGTCTTGTTTGTTTGCTCAAAGTCCTGTTGACTTTGTTCACAGGTAGGGAAATAGATTGTGTCTGTTGTAAATACTGTAATTCAGAATTAATATATATATATATACTTATTTATTTTGTAGGAGTGTAATGACACCTTTAAAGCTAGAGAGTTATCAAATAACTGTTATCTAGATGATATGAATTTTCAAGCATGCTGTCATTACTTTCCTTTTTAAAATTTACATTAAATGCTACTTGGTGATGGTTTATTTCTAAAGCAATAAGCCTATAATCAGAGAAGGAAAATGATCCAGAAAAAGAAATCGTTCAGCAAATTGCAGAAATGTTGCATGAAAAAATTATTAGGATATTAAACACTGAAAAGAATGACATAATTTTTGTTTTAAAGTAAAAGTCACATAGATAATTTCAGTATAATTGCCTATTTGTCTCCTTGGCAGACCAGAACTAATGCAAGAAAATGTAAAGCTTGAATAGATAGATACACATTGCCTCTGAAGTCCCTAGTACAAGTCCCTAGTACTGCTCACTTGCTTTTCACCAATGTGCTCAAATGTGAATTGGTGTAATGTGCTTAAGTGTTAAGTCCTTGGCCAGTCCTGCACATGTTCTATCTGCACCCCTTTTTTGATATGAAAGAGTGCTTTTGTTTCTTGGGGACATACCTGTTAGCAGGATTTGGGTCCAAGTTTATGAAATAAATGAGTTAAGTAGAAAGCAAGGGGACCTGCTGGTGAAATGAGCTAGCTGGCTACTCTCTTTGTCTCATCAGTGTATTCCTACACAGGGCAATCAATGCAGGATGGGAGTTTACGGGTTTGGAATTAGACTCTGGAAGGCTCATGTCTCTTTTTTTTTAAATTATAGACAGTTAAAGAGTACTACCCAACTAATTTAACCTCCCCAGGTAAGAGCCTGAAATGGCATTATGCCTGCCAGTGCTGCAGTTTGTGATGCAGCCAAGTGGACTCCATGAAAAATGAAGAAGTGTTAATGTTTTTAAATGTACTCTGCTTTCTTACCCATTTTTCTTTCCAACTTTCAGCAATACCAGTTTGTTGGAGGAAGGATGGGCGTAATACTTCATATTAAGTGGGTTAAGAAATAGTTTTTGTAACTTCATATGCCTAATAGGAAGCAGGTGTAAACTTAATTTCTTCTGTGATTAAATAGATACACAAGGCTTCCTGGGCTTGAAAAGATGTTTATAATTTGACTTCCACAGGTGCTAGGGAAACCACATGCCAACTTTGCAATATGCCACAGAGTTTGTTCAATATTTGTTACTTTCAATTTTCTTGCCCAACTTCTAATTTCTAAAAAAAAGGGCTACTGTACACAGCAGTGTACTACAGATGACGCTTAAGTTAGGAAATGTTGAATTTTGACTATTTCTAAAAGTAAGTTTACTTTAAAATGTAAAATAAGTCATCATCTTCTTTAATTTTTCTTCTCCACCCTTTCTGAATTATGTTTCAATCTGCAAAACTGCAGTTGGCTGCTGAGCGTGTGCCGGTTGTACATTAGCATGCTCATAAAGAAGTTGCAGAAGAGTTTCCACAAAGCCATCTGGTGATGTAGACCAGGACATGCTTAATGAAAGGGATAATTACAGTCTATTTAATACTCAATTCTGTTTGAAAATCTATGCAAATAGACCCTTTCACCTGGCTGGTGTCTCGTGAGAAGGCTGTTGTCAGAAATGTCCGCTGACAGAATTAAAAACAGTTAATAATCAAATAGCACAGCTGAACAATATGCTTGTCAGAAATACTTACTTTAGTGAGACTAGGGAGAAGAGTACATGCATCCTGGAGTTGTATGGCTTATCACCAGTTGGGCAAGGGGTGAAGTTCAACTCTGTGTTGGCTGAGCCCTCAGGATTCTCAGATACATGGGTTTCAAACATTTTTAAGCCCAGGTCTGCCAGATGCTCACTGGAATGGAGCAATTAAGGTCCTGTTTTTCCACTGTGTCGTTTTGTCTAATGAACCAAGAATGAAGATTGTTGAATTTATTAATCATTACAAAAATGAATTATGAATTAGCACTGATATGACCCACATATTTGGTTGGAGGTGCTGGTGGTGGAAGCCTAGTTTTTAGTAAAAAACAGACTCTTGCACACTCTTACCACAGCTAGCATCCTGGTACATACTGCACTACAAAATAGATGTTTATTGAACATTCCCTTGAACATGGTCTTGGTGATTAAAGAACATGAATGATACCAAGAAGTATAAAAATCGTTTGCAAAGTTTGATCTGAGATCTCCTGACATTAACACCATTGGAGTAAACCACTGAATACTTCACCTGTGAAGGCTTTTTTCTTGCGTTATTTCTCTCCCAAGAAACCACAGAGAGGCCAGTAGGTGTGCTCTCTGAGATTTCCTTTCTTGCTGAATTGCAGAATAAGGTAAGTTTTGAAATGACAGTATTGCACGGCTCTAAGTGACTCCTGAAAAACTATAACTTTTCTCATAGTCTTCCATACCACTCATTAGAGAGCTTGCAAGACCTGCTTGAAAAGGACTCTCCTTTTTACTTACCTCAATGGTAAAGCCATTACTGTCATTATTTTCCAGGAACTCATTGAATAGAAGTCTAAAAGTTTCTTAGGTAGCTCATTGTGCCATCAAAAATGCTTTGTTTGGAACAATTTTCAAGCAGCCTGCTGATAGTTTTATACTTGATTTATTTCTTTACTCTGGAGTTCCATCTCTGCTTAAATGTTGTGATAATAAAAATGCCAACCAAAGAATATTAAATTTATGTGATTTAATGTGGATTTCCATTCTTGCATTTCTGAGAAGTAAATCCGTCTCCTGAAATCCATACATTTAATTAGCTTATAATGTGCAGAAGTCTATTTTATTGATGCATTATGCAAAAGCATTGAAGACTTTGCTGCTTTATATGTATTTATTGTTTTTAATAGGTATTGTCTTTTGATGCCTATTTTGAGGAAGAAGTGCCAGATAAAAATCAAGAACTATATAGAATAAGACACTGCAAAATATACTTCTACCTTGAAGATGATACAATTCAAGTGGTTGAACCCCAAATGAAAAATAGCGGCATAATTCAAGGTATGTATTTTTAATAGCGTTTTATTTTTTGCTGAAAGTGTAAATACTTCCAGTGAAGTCTTGGTCCATTTTAAGGAATACATGACATGGATTCTTAATATTTAAATGGACAGTGAGTGAATAGCTGTAATCATCTTATTATGGATCACAATACAAACTTTTCTATTGCCTTACTTTTTGAAGATGTATGTTTAGTAGGGCAGAATCCATTCATACACACACACATACATTTTTTCTTTAATGTGATCCTTGGTCTTTTTTTGGTTTTGTATCACTTCTGGAAAAGCAATTTGCATTCTGGATTTTCATTCCTGGTCCCGGTTCCTTCCTATGTTAATAAATTCTCTTGCTGAAGCTTTCTTATAGTTTATTAGAAGCTGCAGATATCTTTGCATTTACTGAAGGAGAGCACCTTTTGTGCCTCTGGCTGTTGGTTATGATTAAAATACCCTTGGCTGAGTAGATTTTCCGTGACACTTCTAAGCTGCCTTTCCTCAGAGTCATATCACTACACTTGGGCCAGCCTGAGGACTTGTGGAGAAAGGTTTAGTAAGCTGATTTACTGGAGTATTAATGAACTTGGTTTACATTAAGAAAATGTGATCTGGCAGTCAACATCCTGTTGCAGAAAGGGAGTACAGCTGCTGCTTCTTGATATTTATAGGTCACTGCCGAAATTAAAAAAAAGAAATTGCAAGAGATGTAGTCCAGATAAGCAGAATGTCTTGGGATGAGTATTTTGGGATGACTGCACCTCCCAGTCCCAGAAGATAGTTTATACATTCTGGTGGATCTTTGCACAGCAATTTAGAATTTTTTTTAAAAATTAACTCTTTAATTGTGATATTCTTTTCCAAGATGATCAGATGCTATCAATGTATTTGTCTACAGAATAGGATAACATTTAAAAGTATTAAGCATTACATTTCTGTTGTATCTGGGATAAAGTTGCCTGGGAATTTTATCTTAGAGTAGTACTTTGAACCCTGCTTTCCCTGTATTGAAAAGTTCTTGCCAGAAATTTTGCTGGCTGTTCAGCAGTAACTGATTCTGAATTCAGAGGAACCTCATCCTACTCCTACTAGGGCAATTGATTTTTCATGACCTAAAGAAAAGCATATGGGATCTTTTCACCTGGGAATTTATAAGACACCCTCACTACAGCTATCTCTGTGAGGCTGGAAACATTCTCAGGTGAAAGATTTCCTTGACTTGTGTGTCATGGCAGTGGGAGCAAATGTTTCTAGATTACGTGGCTTGGAACAAATGACTATCAACAAAGGAAATACAGTTAAACTAAGAAGCAGAGGTGATGTCCCTGAGAGGGAAGCTAGAAACCAGGTTCATTAAAGCAGAAAGTGTAGCAGAAATGCTAGGTCATGGCCTAAAACAGTGATTGAACACCTGTTGGGAAAGCAGGGCCAACCCAAAGGAGCTCAGGTGCAATGCGCTTGAGTGACTGGAACGTGTGGAGCCAGGATCCACCCCTTCCCAGACCACATTCAAGGGCTGGCGGTGGAGGCAAGGGTATCTCACTTGAGATCCTTGCCAACTTGAGGCCTTCAAAGGTAAGCAGATGTTTGTTTGTTGTTTCTGTGTCCATGGCTGCTGCACTGGGGCTTGTTCTCATTTGCTGCAACCTAGACTCGTGCCACTCTGCTGTTACTGGTGTACTTTCTGTCATATTATAGCACTACATCATTATAGAAAGTAAATTCAAGGCTGATTGCTTTGTATCTAGCTGTAAGAATGAGTCTTTTAGGTTGCTACTGCAGTATGAGGTATGTAGTCTACTTCCTCAGGCCCGATGTTCCTGGTAGTCTAGTGATGATCCTGAACTGACAGAAAGACTACAGTTTCCTCCTATTTCCTTGGTTGGATCTTGTGTTAATGGTTGTTGAAGTTATCTTTGGTACAAGATCTAAAATTTACTGCATAGTATTCAAAAGGAAGAGGGATTTTCTCAGTCTTCTATGCAAGGATGTCTTGAAGGCCTCTACAGTTTTGTAAGAGCACTTCTCAATATGAGATAAATGAGTATGTAGAAACACTAATGAGGTGGATTAAAAAGAAGTGTTCCAGTAGCTTAAAAGAGAGCTTTGTTTATTTGTTGCTTGTACCTGAGCTGGTAGAGAATCTCAGTTTATTGGTTGTGTCAAGGAAGGGAGAAGTGCAGTAGATTGAAAGATTCCCAAACCAGTTGGTGTATGTTTAGGCTTCGCAGCTAATGAGATGACTTTGGGCCTATACTTTGTCATAACTATTTACATAAAGATTCTTCTTAAGCTACAGATTAATCTTATGTGGGGGAGGGGGAGAAGATGGAAATGCTTGTCAGAGAATTCTTGCTCCTATGCACTTAGGCACTGGCTTTATGCTCTATAAATGAATAAAAGCTATGAAACTTACCTTAGGGACAATAAGTTTGTTCTTGAATACATGTAAAAGCGGTCTTAAACTGCTTATTTTTGTAAGAATATGTATATAAAATGCATAAACCATAAAGTGCTTGTATGTGTATATACATTTATAATCTGCTTAAACCATTACTTTTGCTCAGTTTTGAAATAAAAATCAACCCGTTGCTTCTTTTATATTGTTCATATTCCCTGTTCTGATTGAAAAGAAGACTGAAAGGAACAGAAGCATAACTGCATTGTGAAGCTGTTAGGCTGAAGCACAAAGAATGAAGTTCTTGCCCGTGAGTTGTAAAAAGTTGTAACAGGAAGAGAAGCTGAACTGAGCTGAAGTTCAGGGTCTTAACCATAACGCTGTCCTCTGTACCTACGCTAAAATCGAATATTTCAGTTAATTAGAATGCCTGAGTTCTGTAGGGGAGAGTTCAACTGTAGGAGAACTTGACTTGTTGAAATAAGGGCAAATTGTACTGAACAAAAGAGCGCAGATGTGGGGATGTGGATGATGGAAAAACGTGTGGGGAATTTAAAGAATGGCATAGGCTTAGTCTGTGTGGACAGTTATAGAGTTGCAATTCAGGGAAGAGGTTGCATAAAGGAGGAAAAGAAGTAAGCTTTGGTGGAAAAGATGCTGAATAGATGAACTTTTAATTTATCTTTAGAATGAAGAAGGTAGTGGAGATCCTGATTTGCATGCATACCCAGGTGGAAGAGATGTAACAGAGACAGCTATTCTTAGGAGTCCTCTTGAAGAGTAGTTGTTGCAGTGATGGTATAGATCAAAGGTTGATGGTTGGATAGATCGAAGGTAGATCTTTGCTTGTCTGGTTAGTGCTTTGAGGCCACTAGATTACCAGTGCTTGTGCCATGCCCCACAAATGAGAGCTTGATGGTCTGAATGGGTCTCTCTGGGCATGGGGGGGTTAAGGAAGTGTTCCTTCTGTGCTCCCCCTTCTGTGGTTAGTATTTGTTGCTTTGCGGGGGAAAAGATTTGGAGAGGCTTATAGACTGCAGGATGACTTTTGTGAAGGAACACTTGGTAAGTAATTTAGAATTCCTAGATTTAATTATGATTTTGCAAAATTAAGACAAATTGGCTTTAAAAAAGCCAGAGAATGTGCTTCTACCAGTGATCAAAATCTCAGAGTGATAAAGTAAGTAATCTGTGGGAAATGCTTTCTAGTGACTTTAAAAAGTGCTTTGTGGAATTGGCTTCTATACTTGGACATGAATTTGGACAGTTAAGGTTACTACTGAGAGGCTGAAATCTAACGTACATCTAATTTTGGAAACTGCCTTGCTACAGATTGGAAAAATATTTTGAAAATTCTTAGGAACACTGGAGGAAATCTATAGAAAGAATCTACAAAACTGCAAAACACAAAAGGATGCAGGGGCCAACCTGAACTTGAGAAACCAGAATCAAAGCAAAAAATACCAGGGCAATCACAATGCACAAGAACTAATCAAAGATAAGGAATGAAGGAAAGAACAGTCAATTTTACCTCATAACAAACTGCGATGTTCTTCCAGAGCCTGGAAGCTAATTATTCTCCTTATATAAAAGTACGCTCTCTCTTTAGAGAACCAGTTTAGATGGGACGATACTAGCATTTTGTAGTTCTAATTTTCAGTTTAAAGGACTGTGGCTGGCTGATACTGCCTTATCAAAAGGTTATTTATGTCCCCTGGGGTTAAATGTAGCTTCCAGAGCAATCCCGGCCTTGAGAGCTAGAGCACAATAGAGAGGCTGGCTGATTTTCCCCAAGGTCAGCCAGCTGAAGAAGAAAGTAAAGCTGCCTGCTGGCGAGGTTCCCAAGGCTGACTGGCTGAAGAGGAAAGTGCAGTTGGGAAAGTGAAGTTGTAGGCAGCTCCTTCAGTATAACTGATTATCTAAAAGTTTAAGAACCCCTTGGAGCCCTTGAAATAATCACAATCTTGCTTTTTAATGGTGACCAAAGCAGGACCTGGCTATCTTCAGAGATGGGTGACTAAGTAAATGTAAGAAACTCCCTTGTTTCTTGGGAGGAACTCTTTGTGTTGCAGGGATAGTTGTCTTCTTTCTGTGTAAACAGTCAGAGTGTGCAAAATCCAAGTGTTACCCATTCCACTCCTCTCTAGTACGCTCCTGAGTAGTGCAGAGGGAGTAAGCTGTGCTGAGGAAATTCTTGATACCACTTTTGTCTTTCTGCAGAGCAATGTGGCAGCAGAGACCAAATTGTGTGTTGCCCAACTGCACATGCTGCCTTGTAAGCAAAAATCTTTCACTGCTATTAAGGTCTCCTTAAGCTGCTGCGGTAGCTGCCAAATACTCAGAAACCCAGAGAGAAGAAAAAATCTGCTACAGATTGTGATGTTGGAACTTGATGGCACCATTATTGGCTGAGAAAAGCAGCACACCAACTTCCTTTACAAGAACACAGTATAGAAGAGCTATAGGCTGACCAGATGCAAATATTTAGGATCCTGATTTGTACTGCAGTTGGATAGCGTACTCAAACTGATAGAAGATATCCATCCTTGGCAATGAGACTGTTGCATGTGCACAGATTCTTCTACAATGATATCTAACGTGTTTCTAGAAGTAAAAATAGAATTATTTTCCAAAAGAAAGGTCCTAGCATTTTTAAAATTATCCTAACATGAGCTCATCACATTTTATTAGATTTCAACTTCAACAATATAAAATATTTTCTCCACATGTGTAGATCAGGCACAGTGATATCTAATAAAAATGGAGGTTTGCTAGACTTGATATTATCTATACGAGACATTTTCCATTAGGAAAGAAGTTCTTTTCCCTTCAGAACAAAACGGGTATATGTACTGTACTTAGAAAAGAGATATGGAAAAAATAGCTGCATGTTTACTTACTGGTTCTGAGGTGAATATAACTTCAGAAAACATGTCAGAAGATTGTAAACAATTATATTTTAAATAAAATCATAATAAACTTTTGCATTAATGTGGGGGGGTCTGTTCTGGTAAGCACATTATCTCTTTATTTTGTTGGAGCAACTCAACGATTAAGCAAAATTATGTAAAGTTTTTGAATCATGTGTTTTTGTTAATGGCAGTACTATGGGGTCTTGCATCATGTTAAAATGTGTTAATTATCATATTTTCTAATTAACATTTCTGTGACGATACCTCTTAAATATATGTATGTTTAAGCTGATAGAACTTAAAATTTATTTCATAGTCAAAGGTCAGTAGCCAAAGTGTCAGATTTTGGTACGTGTGAAACGTTAGGATGCTGAAAAGCTCTAAAATAATTTATTTAATGTGAATATAAAGTAGAGTTGCTTTGTTGCTTTATTCCCCTGAAAATTTATGGGAGTTGAACTAATTATGAGTTATATTGTAAGAGTTTACTCATTATAGGAGTTAGAATTTAACAAACAACTCTGATAATGTAGTTGTGGAAGGTATTTCATACAGATTAGTCCCTAGTGAAATAAAACTGAACAGTGAAGAATTTCCATGGAGTAATTCAGAACTAAGGCCAGTAAAACACTAAACATAAATAAACAGCAATATATTTCTCCCACCTTCTCTGCCTCTCTTCATCTTTCCTCCACTCCCTCCTACCCCCAGACCAAAAAAAACAATGCTGAAAAACCTTCAGAAGGAACTTAAAGGGAAATACTACCAGATGCACAGCTGAAGGGCCCTGGAAAAAGTTCTGTAATGAGAGATAATGAGATATTTTTTAGATAATTGTCTACTCTTGTTGTAGTAAGTTAGTACTTGAACTATCTTTAGCTTTGGAATTTTTGTGTGTTAACTGTTGTTGTTTTCAAGTTGCACCTTTTATTATTGTAGTTATGAAATTGTTGGGAAGGTATGATGGCAAGGAATTGTTGTAGTCATATGGGCTGGTGGTTTCTACCTGGTGTTAGGCAGTGGGTATCTGCAGGGTTACAGGGATATCCAAGTTGGTAAGCACAACAAAGATGGTGAGACTGAGGACTGGACCATCTTTGTATTCTCTACGTATTATCTTCACACAGAGACACCTTTGTATTGATGTGGCAAAACTTTCACTGCTATTGTTTTTGTTCTCTTGTAATGTTGAAAACAAGAGCTTGGACCCAGCTCTGCCAATCTGAAGTTCTTTGGGAACTCAAACTTTACTCATGATAAATCATAGTTTGTCATACGTGCAGCTGCATAACTTTCCTTTAATGTACGTCTTTCTTATTTAACCTGCTGAGGCTGTTGTTTATAGGGTATTTTTGAAATACTTGTGGTATTTCAGACTCCCAGAATGGTTGAAGCTGGAAGGAATCTCTTAAGATAATCTGGTCCAAGTCGTCTGCTCAAAGCAAAGTCACCTAGAGCAGGGTGTCTATGGCCATAGCCAGCAGGGTTTTCAGCATCTCCAAGAGGTTCTACAACCTCTCTGGGAAATCTCTTGCAGTATGTTTGCCTAGCATCACAGTAAAAGTGTTTCCTTGTGTTTGGATGGAATATGGAATTTCTTATTTATTTATTATTATTATTTTATTTGCACCCATTGCCTCTTCTCTTGTCCCTGGGCACCACCTGGCTTTGTCTTCTTTATTCCTCCCCATCGTGTATTTATAGGCATTGCAGAGGTCCCCCTTAAGCTTTTACTGTTCCAGGGTAAGCAGTTTCAGCTCTATCAGCCTTTTCTCATGTGCAGTCTCTTCTCTGTCATCATTGAGTAACTTTTGAAGCATTACCCAATTCATCAATATGAGTTTTCAGCTGATAAACACATAAACACATAGCAGATTACTCCTCCTTTAATGCAGTGAATATGAACAAATGCAATGCTCCAAAAATAATAGTACCTACTTTCACAAAAGTACTCTAAAGAAGGAAGCTTGTCTACTAGCTTTAGTAAAGTTCAGATCTTTTTTTTCCCTTTTCTCTCTTCCTCCCCTCCCCCTTTTTTTTTTTTTTTTTTTGCCCACTTTTTACTTCTTTGCTTGGTTGACAGCCCTCCCTGTGGCAGAGGGTTTGGAACTTGATCATCCCTTCCAAACCAAGCCATTCTGTAAATTTTAAGGAAGCTCAGTTGGATGCCCTTGCTTCCAAACTTGATAGGTCAGGTGTTTTCCCTTAGTAGGGCATTTTTTTTTTTTTCTTCTATGACCTTGATCGTATACGACTACTGTCACCCCACAGGATGTAAAGACAATTTTTATCTTTCCTGCACATTCCTACCCTGTGATTTTGCACAGCACTGTGTTTTTTTTGTTTGTTTGTTTGTTTTTTTTAGAAGAAAAATTCTTCTAAAAAATATTAAGTACAGGAGACTACTTTTCACTGGAAGTGAAAGATGTCTCTTCTTTTAATGAAAGGTTGTGCTGTTCTTATTGGATAAACTACTGACCAGTTACCTGTGAGGAGCAAATGGGAATTCATTTCTATTTACAAAGGTGCTAACTTTCTGCATTAGCCTAAGTTTTGTGCTTGAACTTGAAGTGCTAGAAGGTGATCATTGTGTAGAGGTGTTCTTATTAAAATAAGATCCTCTTATCTGATAGTTCCTTTGCTGAGTGAAGGATAATTCCCCCCCCTCCCCCCCCATATAGTTTCATCTGCTTTGGTTGTATCAGTATTGGAAATTAGCGTATCTATGAAATGATCCCCAGAGAAAAGGATGTTCGCTCTTTGAATTTATTTTAATTCTTTTACAGGAACTATTGTTCGACGTCATCGGATTCCACTTCCATCTCCTAATGAAGATCAGTTCTATACTATAGATAATTTCAATATCAACACTGAAGTAATCTTTTATGCTCGAAGATACAAGATTATAGACTGTGACCAGTTCACAAAAAATTTCTTGAGGAAGATGGGATTTAAATTAAATCCTCCAGGAAATTGTCCAGATGACCCATATACCAAAGAGCGGCAAAAGGTCAGATGAGGCAGTAAAAGTGAATACGTGATTTTAATCGAAGTGCAATTTCTATTAGTAATATGTATGATGTAAAATATTTTTCTGAGCAAATAATGTGCCTATTTCAACATAATGAATCACAAGAGAGAACTTGCTTTTTAAAATTTGACTATATGGCTCATTGTACTAACGTAGTTTTCTCCTGATGTGTTCACATACCTTTTGAAAAAGAAATGTGATAAAATCTTTGCCTTTTGTGTGTGTGGGCGTTATCTTGATAAAACTGGTGTAAAACTTACCTCTCATGGCAAAAAAAAAAAAAGAAAAAAGCACTCAAATATGTTGAATGAGAATTCTCCTTAAGTTGTGTGCGAAGTAGATAAACAATGTTAAATTTACCATCTACATAACATATTTTCAGCCTTACATACATGAATCAGGTTTATTAGAATCAATGCTGCTGTCTGGTTTTTCATATGGCCTCAAACTTTAACCAGCAGTATTGATTAGGAATAGCACTGTCATGGATTTTCATGTCGTACTTGATGTCTAGTACAGATAAACGACTTTTCTCTGTAAACATTGGTTGGTGGATTGGTGAAAATAAATGCTACGTATTACAGAAAAAGCATCACAGAATTGTTCTTCGACCTGGAATAACAATATTTATTTTCACAATGTCTGTTGAAAATAAAAACTGCAGTAGTACGTTTTCTGTGCATGTAATTGTCATTTCTGTAAGTGCATCAGACTCTGTGATCTCTTTTGAACAAACTCCTCAGGAGTGCTCATTACATAATTAGAAGATGTAGGGTGGGAATGGTACTCTCTAGCCACTTGAAACCAGGGAGGTATAAGCACAGTTATCTCTGAACTAAAGGGATAAATTAGGATGCTAAATTAACTTAAATGAGCAGATGTTTGCTCCTTTTTTGCCTTCATTTGTCAGTGTCAGCTGCTGAAAGTACAAACAGTATTAAATTAAAAAAAAAAAAGCTATTATGTTCTACTTCAATCTTTCTTGAGTTGACTGAATGACAGCACTTTAAAAGTGTTTAAAGGAAGATGTAGTTGGAATTGCAGTTCAAGCACATCTTTGGCTTCCTGCAGACTCACTTTATTGGTGTCTTCAGATGTCATCTTTTTTTTTTTGAATGTGTAAAGCAAACTCTTCTGCCACATAGAATCCACAACTCTGCAGCTTTATCACTTGTGAGCTTTCATTTGAAAGCTCTTTGTTGTTGTTTGTTTGTTTCTTTGTTTTTCCCCAGAGAGTGTGTGGCATCCTCCAAAACTTTCAGGTTTTTAGCTCCTAAGTGTTATGTGGATTCCTCTTTGCAGGACTTGGGGTCTTTTCTCTGGGCATGGTAGTGGGAGTGTTGTTTCCATTAGGAGATAATGACAGTGTCTTTCTGAGATGGCACGGATTTTCTCTTCTGACTTGTTAGGACTGTTGGCCCACAATAGATAGCATGCTGTGGTAAATCCACCCCAGTGCTCTGAAGGCAACAAATACTCTGTGCAATAAATAATTTATTGCTTTCTTCATCTCAAGGACCTTTCTGTAAGTGAAACAAAGGTCAAAAGCAATTTGAAATTGCTCTTGGTGGTTGTTTTTTTTTTTCCTGAAGACACTTCTTCCTTAATAATTTTCTTTTGTAAATAGCGTTTCATTTATTTAAATTGTGTGGTGTTATTCAAAAGTCTAAGAAGCATATTCTAATGTTAGGTGGTACCGTGAAGTTTGGTATTCTGTCTTAGAAGCAAGTCATTAAAAAGATGCTTTTCTTTATTTTTCCTTCACTTGCAGATCCTAGATAGCATGAACCCATTGCGCCCTTATGAGCGCATTGACACTTTGAAACAATTTCTGGAGCATGATAGGCATGTTTTACGCTTTTATTGTGTGTGGGATGATCCAGAATCCCTGTTTCATGACCCACGGGAGCTCGTTCTGCACTATTATTTGTCTGATGATACTATTGATATAAAAGAAGTTATACCGGTAAACTCGGGCCGGGATGTAGTTCCACTTTTTCTCAGAAGAGATAAGCTTCCAAAGGTAAGAAATGGAAAATTCATTCTATTTGAAATTCTTTTGCTAATAAAGAATATTATATGCATTGTTTTGCGGCCTGCTCCAGGGAATCTGCTTTGGGGGTGTGGGCTGGATAACCTCGGGGTCTCTTCTAACGTCTATGACTTTGATGCTGTGGAAATCTTGCCTAGCAATTGTAATGACATTTGGAACATATTATCAGAGCCTAAATCAGAGTTATTAGGCATTTAGATTTTTTGAATACTGATTCATACAACTTCAAGAGATTGGAAAATTAAGTTTTGGCTTGTCACTCCTAAGTTTAAAGGAGAGAGAATTTAGGTAGAGAGATATCCCGTGGTTTTCTTTCTCGCAGATTATTGTATTAACATAAATTCATATATAAATCCATGCTGTAAAGGAAATTCAGATAAACTAACACTGAGGTGAATTCACCTTTGATTTGTATGGATTATACTTGGAGCCTTTGAAAAATCCAGTTCTGGTACTCTGTAAATTCTATCTCTGTAGCATATCTATAGTGAATTCTTAAGTTTGAATTCACAGATTTGAGATCTTATAAAAAGCTAGTTAAAATCAATCAGAATCCATGAAAAAATGTAGGCATTAATCAGGTGTTTATTAGAGGAAATCAATCTCAGATAAATCTTCAAGGATTTGAGTAATGTCCTGCATAACCTATTATGATGATAAAGTTAACAATCTGGCTACACCTCTGTGTCACTTCAGGCAGATCTTGGTGGTAGAACAAAATCAACCTACAGATGAAGTAAAACACTGAGGTGTTTCTTCCCTCCTGTCCTAATACTTTTAATTTATCTGTTGCACTATAGTTTTACAAGAGATTTTTGTAGTAAAATCCTAACAGCAAAATACTTGCTGTTCTCACCTAGAGCATCCTGCATTCTGAGCTGCTAATTTAGCAATGACTCTATGCTGGCAGACCCCTTCTACTAGTGAAGTGTGTGTCAATGTTAAAGGCTGGCCTCTTTCTCTAATTTAAGTGACAATGTGGAGAAGAATAGCAGCCAAAAGTTGGAATATCAGGGAAGTGACTATGACAAAATAATGTACTTCAGTTACCCTACATTGGCATTTTGCTGATTTGCATATTAAGTTTGATATTATTGGGATATTAATTGCATTAATTACTATTATGACTTTGAAACTTACAATAATTCTCTCCTCTTCATTGCTGAGAAATAAAACTAGATTACCTTTAAAGGTCCCTTCAACTCAAATGATTCTATGATTTTATGGTGTAAACAAAAATAATATTTCTCTCAATAGAATCATACGACTTGAATCCCATCTTTCTGTGCAGTGCTCAACTTAGTAGGACCAGCCCTGAGTGGTTCTTTTGCATGCTTTTTTTTTTATTATTACTGCTCAAAATAATAGCCTTTAGAGCAGATGCTGACAAGGATATGCTGCTAATCTTTCTTTCCCAGTGCTTCCAAGAAAAAGAAGGCTTCACTCTTGGATGCACAGTAAGATTCTGAATGCATCTTCTGATGTAGACATTGGGTTTTCAGTTCAGTGGCATAAAATTACCTTAGAACTTACTGAAAATTCTCCCAAGACAACACTGTTATAACAGGCTGAAAAATAAATAAATATGCTTTTACTTCTAAGGTAAGAATTGTCTTTCTTCTTTGTTAAGTGTATTTCTTAACACCCTGTCTCTTTTCTTGCAGTATGCTCCAACTGGTTTGTATCAGCCAGGCACAATCACCAGTCACACTGTTCTCAATGTATTTGGAAATTTAGTAGGAAATAGAGGCCGTTACATTCTGGACAATCGTAAGGTCAGATATTACTGAATGCCCTCAGCTGTTGAATATCCTAATAGCAGTTTTTGAAATTTCTCTGATTATATGCTACAGTGAGAGAAGTTCTTTGTAAAATTGTGTTGTAGTTGGAGAATAGCTCATATCAAAAATACTGAAATTTATTATGAAATTTATGTTTGTGAAAGTGAGGTAGCATAGCATGGGCTGAAAACTACTTGCAGATGAAATATGAAGATTGTATTTTAAGTCATGCATACTTAATGACCTACTTTGTAAGAAAGATTGTATGACACTAAGATTCATAGAGCTACTGTATAAATGTTCCCTATTTTATTAGACAGGAGCAGTGCATCAGGAATTTTACAGAGACAGCGACCTGAAAATAGGGGCAGTAATTAATGTTTGGGGAAGGCGGATAATGCTGTGTGATTGTGATGAATTCACTAAAGATTATTACAGAACAAAATATGGAATTGGTAAGTAGTGATAATTATCATTTCCTTACCAGCGTTTTTACACCTCTGAGTTTGACAGAGCTGTCTTCAAATTTTATTACTGACAAAACATGTTCATTAAAGCCTTTTGCAATAACAATCAATTGCTGTTAGCAGGGAATCAGTAACTTTACAGGTGACCCTGAAGGTCATTTTTGTGTGTTACTCCACTGAAAAGCAGCACATAATGTCCACGATCAGTTTCTAACTGCCTTCATTTTTAAACTAGAATGACAAAATAGTCATATGGGTAGACTGTCATTTCTAGTTCTCCCTCCTGTTCCGATAGCCATGTTTGCAGTCAGAAGGTAATAAAGGGCATGCAGTATGTAGAGTAGGCTCAATTATTCCTCTTTACACTATGTTTCACTCTGTATGATGTTAGAATCCTCATTTAATAAGGTTTTCTGACACAACAGTAGTCTATCACGTTACTGTTTTTACAGTGTAGTTTTGTGTATTGTGAATCGTTAGAGTATTTATCCTGTGAGATTTCATTACTGAATTCTGGAAACATTTATCAACTATGCTCATTATGGAAAAGCATTTTGGACATATATAACAAGAGAGTGTTTCATTTATCTGCCTGAATTCTCTCAGTCTGACTTGCTAGTGTTCTATTATAGCCATCATCCTGCAAAAATAACTTAGTTGATTTCTGGCAGTTTATTCATTCAATAAATACATCTGAGTGTCTTGACTGTTCAGATTTGATTGAAAGAATCCTAGTATGGCCTTTCTTACATGGAGAAAAAAAATAGTTGGGCAGATTATTTTTTTTTATCTTGACTTGTAATCAGAATGCAGTGTTTAGATCAAAACCTGTTTGCTGCATTGAGGGAATTAAATAATTCCCTCTGCCACTATGCTGCTAAATTTCTTAGTTGGCAAAACATGCCTCATTAGAGCTTTTAAAATAATAGTTTGGAGTATCTGTGCCAAAACAAATCTTTTCTTATACTGACCAGTGTGTAAGGAAGCCATATTCAATAACCACACTATTATTTATAATAACAGTGAGTCTAGCTCCAGAGATGGAAAACGGGGTATTTCCCTCATAATTTTTTCAGCCAAGATTGCTGCCTCTGTTTGGCAGCAGTGTCCTCTCTGTCTGAGCAGGATATCTTGGAACAGTGAATGAGGGTTTCTTATTTGCAGATGAGAGATAAATAAAATGCAGCTGTCCATTCTGAGGCAACCAAGCAGTGCTACCAAGTGTTATGTAAGGGCAAAGTCTCCTATAATGCTGGCTCAGTAATTACTGGTTATGTTTCTGGATGTTATTTACTCTAGAAGTTAAATAAAGTTAGACGTTGAAGAAGTGAAAAATTGCAGAAAATTGAGACTGTAGGTAATGTGGTCCATTCCCTTTGTTCTGAGTGTGTATACATGGGACTGTCAATGCCTGATGCTTGTTTAGCCTTTCTCTAACATCCTTTGGAAGAAATTTACCTGCCTCTTAAGGTATCTTGTCGTAAATGCATAGTTAGAAATATTGTTTAATGGCTTCTCTGAAACTGGTTTGTGTAAACTGACAATAACTTTTTTGCTTTACCTTTGTTTTCAATCCTTGATGATGTTAGCATGGGGACAAGCAAACCTGCTACCTTGGACTTCTGGAGGGCAGACTTTGGAACTGTTCAGCATGCTGGTAGGGAGAGTCCCTTGGGATTCAGTCCTAAGGGGTAAAGGGGTCCAGGAAGGCTGACTGCCTCTCATGAAGTCTGAAAGGCACAGGAGCAGGCTGTTCCCCTGTGCCTCTAGGTAAGTCAGTGGGGAAGAAGACCGATGTGGATGAACAGGGAGCTTTTCCTGAGGCTCCAGGGGAAAAAGGGAGTCTTCCTCCTGTGGAAGAAAGGATGAGCAACTCAAGGAGAGTACGAAGAAGTTATGATGTGCAGGGAGAAAGTTGGAAAGGCAAAAGCCCAGCTTGAATTCAACTTGGCCATTGGGGTAAAAGAGAACAAAAACTTTTTACAAATATAGTAACAGTAAGAGGAGGGCTAAGGAGAATCTCCATCCTTTACTGGATGCAGTGCAGAGCGTGACCACTGAGGAGAAAGGGAAAGGCTGAGTTTCCCAATGCCTTGTTTATGTCTGTCTTTAAAAGTCAGACCAGTTATCCTCAAGGTACTCTACCTCCTGACCTGGAAGTCTTGGATGGGGAGCAGAAGAAACCTCCACAATTCAGGTGGAAATAGTTAGAGACCTATTGCTCCACCTGGACTGCCACAAACCCATGCTGCAGAATAGGATCCACCCACGAGTACTGGGGCAACTGGCAAAGGTGATAGCCAAGCTGCTTTCCACCATCTATCAGTGTTCCTGCTCAACTGGACAGATCCCAGAGGGTTGGAGGCTTGCCGATGTGGCTCCCTTCTATGAAAAGGATCATAAGGAGGATCCAGGGAACTACAGGCCTGTCAGCCCAATGCCAGGAGCAGATCATCTTGAGGGAGATCCCACTGCATGTGCAGGACGACCAAGGGATCAGGCCCAACCAGCAGATGTTTCATGAAAAGCAGGTCCTGCTTGACCAACCTGATCTCCTTCTATGATCAAGTGACCCACCTGGTTGATGAGGGAAAGACTGTTGACATAGTCTACCTTGACTTCAGCAAGTCTTTGACACTGTCAACCACAGTATTCTCCTGAATTAGTTGTCAGCCTGTGGCTTGGATATATACACTCTTTGCTGGGTAAAGAGCTGGTTGGATGACTGAGGCCAGAGAGGGGTGGTGAATGGAGTTAAATCCAGCTGGCCACCAATCACAAGCGGTGTTCCCTGGGGATTGGTATTGGGACCTGTCCTGGTCAGAGGTGACCTTATTGCTCTCTACAGGTACCTGAAAGGTGGTTGTGGTTAGACGGGGGTCAGCCTCTTCTCCCGTGTAACTTGAGATAGGATGGGAGGGAATGGCTTCAAGTTGCGTCAAGGGAGATTCAGTTTGGATGTTAGGAAATACTTCTCCAAGAGAGCAGTCAGACACTGGAACAGGCTGTTTGGGGTCTTGGAACCCTGGAGGTGTTCAAGAAATGTTAAGATGTTGTACAGAGGAACGCAGTTTAGTGGGAAATATTAGGTGGATGGTTGGATTGGATGTTCGTAGAGGTATTTTCCAACCTTGGTGATTCTGTGATTATGAGGTTAGAAAAAGTGTATGTATGATTTATTTATTTTTTAGCTATAAAGGGCTAAGATTAGACTCAGGGTAGTTTATTGGCTTAGAAACAGTTATGTTTTGAGGGAGAAAGGTCTCATCTTTTACTCTTCATGTGTTATCGATTTTGTTTTTGTGAACATACAAGGTAATCTCAAAGGACGGTGTCTCACAAAATGCCCAGCATTCTGCCCCAATCCATTTAACCACTGAAATGTGTTTAATTATAGTTTGAACCCAGGGAGACCATTTAGCTGAATGATAGTAAGCAAGTGGAGAAATGAGTTCTTTCTTCAAGGCACAGTTCTCAGCACCTCACGGCATCAATCCAGCTGTTTGTTATTGTGTTTTTACATTACTCCCCTTGTATTTATACTCTTCTGCTAACGCCATGAAAGAGGCTGACGTTTATTTTTGAATGTGCAGTTCCAGCATCAGTTGTTTTCCAATGGAATTTGCCCTTCAGGTGAATTAAGGGTAGTTTAGATTTGCTTAGAAGCGTGTGATTATGATATTTGATGTATTTCCAATGTTGCTTCTGTCTGTTTTGCTCTTCATACCATTCGTGAAAAGTGAAGGAGAGCTTTTCCATGGGTAAACAATAGCTGATGCTCTTCAGTAGGAAGCTGATAACATCACTGCCATGTAACAATGCTGTGAATTCAAGAAAAAAACCTCAGTGTGATATTATCTGTCACTGTTTGCTAGTGAAGCTGCAGAGAAGGACAAAAATGTTCTGCACCATGTATTACTGCAACATTTAGGGGGCTGAAATGTGAAAGATACTGATGTGCAGTGGTAGGAAGATGATACTTGTTCTTCTAATTAAATACGGTATCTCAGCACAGAGTTGAGTATAAAGGGTGGATTTCGGTATAAATTGTCCTTTCTTAAATAACAGATTGTTCCTGAAGGAACAAAACCAGTAAAATCTGGTTTCCTCCTGATTTTTATTCGATGTTTCAGCACCTCCCAAGCCTGCTACGCCTTTTGCAGCACCTCGTGATCCCTCTCGTGTCCCGGCTCTCCTCGCCCTCCCACCCCCTCATTTCTCAGGCTCCCTCTCTGACCTGCTGCCTGGGCAGAGCAGTGTGCAGTGTGGTTGGCTGGCCAGTACATGCGTGCTTTTGGCCAGGCAGCTGCTGTTGGATAACAGCTGACTTCTTGCTTCTCCCTCGGTGGGGGCATTAAAGCCTGCTGCCAATTTTTACTGAACTCATTGGAGATCAAAATCTCTCTGACTTTTAACCTCCCCATTAAATGTGGTTGAAGCTGAGCAGCAGGATCAAAATATGCACAGAGAGGACTACATGCATTTGCAGATGCCTTTTTTTTTTTTTTTTTCCTCAGGTAGCTGGAGTGATCATGAAGTAGGACTTTCTGAAAGCAGATTTTATTGGAATCAAAACTGTGCTGAGTTTTAGCTGCACAGCTGATGTTGGGAAGACTGGATTTGCTTTAATTGCTGCACATAAAAGTTAGGAAGATGATGGTATTGCTTTCTTATTGTGCCTTTTACCTAAGTTGTGAAACACTCTCACAAAAGCCAAATCTCAGCTATATGTAAGGTAGAACTCATATAGAAAGAACATCATGTTAGCAACGTTCTCCTTTCCAGGTTAACTCCAACTCTTCTATTGTCCTAAGCTATTGGGATTTCTCTCTCTTATTCTGGGCTGTTATAGTCAAAGGTGCATGCCATGTTCCTCCAAAGGTAGAATTTCTTGCCTGCCTGCTAATTACTGGTATTCAACATTCTTATTGCTCTAATCCAGAGTTTAAATCACTTGGCTTTTCTTTGAAATATCTTTTTCTCTCTAATGTGCGAGTTTTCCTACAGTTCATCAGCTGAGTGCTGAAGGTATACTTAGAATGTATATCATGGTCTCACTGTATCTTTTGAAACTGAAAGTGTGCAAATTCTCATTCAAGCAAGCTTAATGCTGCCTTTGGCAACAAATCTTATTTGAGGAATTTATTTTCTCTGACTCAGAAGGCTCTGTCATCTTCAAATTGTTTGTATGCTAAAGAAGTGGCTGGATTTGTTTTTAGTTCTTGCTGTTCCCAGTGCTTGTTCCAATCTCTCTTAAGTTTTGATGTAATGAGAAAACTTTCCTAGTACATTGCGAATGTTTGATGTGGCAGGTGAAATAAACACCACAGCGGCAGGCCATCTCCTGCTGGGCATCAACTGATGTACTACAAAGAGGCAAGACTGTCCATGAAGAAAATACTTCTACTACTTTTTCTGGATCTAGGAATTTGTAGCCCACGACTTTCAGCTTGCTCACTACCTACTGTAAATTCACATTGAGTAGAAGAGAAAAACATTGATTCCTTTTCTAGAATGAGCATAAATATTTTTCTTTAGAAACAGTGGTAACTTTGAAAGGGGTGTGTTCTATGTGTGAGTGCAAATTGTCTGTCTGTTGCTACCCTAACGGTGCATGGTAGAGCAAAGATGAAAACAATTTGGAACCTAGGCATAGCTGTTAGTTCAGCGCACTTGGCTGCTCAAAAGTTGAAGACAAGTTTTTAGCTAGTTTGCAAATTGGCGATCCTCTATGCGAAACTCTTTACGATTTTCCTTGTTCAGAGGAGAGAATCTGAATGCATAATCCTTTAAAATCATGCAAACATAGGTGGCAGAAAGTTGGTTGTTTGCGTTGTTTTCTTTAGTGAATCTGGATGAAGGAAAGGCATTTTACGTTGGGGAGCAGCTGAGAAACAAAGCACCAAATTTGTCTTTGGACTTAAACCCCAAGCTTGAGTTGTGAAATCATAGAATGGCCTGAGTTGAAAAGGATCACAGTGATCACCTAGTTTCAATCCCTCTGCTATGTGCAAGGTCGCCAACCACCAGACCAGGCTGCCCAGAGCCTGAGGTATTTAATATACTCTCTGCAACTAATGCTAATTCCTCTTAAATGTATTTTCCTTTCAGTTTATAAATCTGATGTTCACCAATATGTGCTAAAATAACATGCAAATGAAAATGCTTTATCATTTCTTGATGGATACCTTATGCAGTGTTAATGCACATATAATGTGACCTGCATGTAAATGCATTAGTTTGTATTTTGAGTTTACAATTTCAACTGTATGTCCTGGCTTTCCAAACTGTTTTGGCAGGAGGGATGTTAGGTAAAGCTGTGCAGTGAGGAAGGCTTTTTTCTGCTAAAATGCATTGTTAAAAACATCTTTCCTTTGATGAGGAAAATAGTACCAAAGCTGAGCACAGTGCATAACAAAAAATACTGTTAAGATTTCTAAGTAATATTATGACCCTTAGTTGGAAGAACCTAGCTAACAGGCTGTGCAGGAGAGCAAGTTGTACCACCTGCAGCAACTGTGTGATGAGACGTAAGACGTGATAAAGGATCAGCTCCACTTCAACACACGGCTGAAAGCCATTTGCCTTTTATTTGCATCGTAACGTATTAAAATTACCGTAGTGCCTTGCAGAAGTAGTTTCAGCAGCGGCTGCTGCCTTAATGCCTTACGATCAGAGAAGGAATGACATTGCGAGGCTCTCTCTGTCCCATCTGCCTCACACGCACTAGGTGGCACTGTTGGAGTGCAGGAACGATCTTAATTGAGGATTCGGGCTTTTGTACCCGTTCCCAAAGCAGAAGAAAAACCTGTATTAGGAAAGCGACAGTTCTTTCTCTGTTGGCAACTAAAGGGGTAGACACGTAGTAACTCAACATGCACCAGCTCAGAATACAGAATCAATACCTCTGGGTATGGAGGTTTTCTTTTTGTGTCAATATGTGTCAATTTACCTACATAGTGTTTGTTGCAATGGAAGCTGCATATATTATACTATATAACATGGCACATTGAAAATGTCTTGAGAAGCAATTCTATCCGAAGTAATACTTGTATTTCTGAACTATGGAAAGGGCACACACAGTTTTTATGGGGAAAAAAAAAAATGTTGGGGTGGTTTTGCAACTCTCTTTTTGAGAGAAGAGAAAGGTACTGGTGCTTTCAGTTAGATCATATTCTTGTAAGAGATAAAGGCCAGAAGAAATAGTGTTGTATTTTCAAGGTAAAGAAGAACTTTGGCATCTGAATTCTCTCCGTATTTTTCAACTCCGTGCTGTTGTTAGGCATGTTAGACTTTAAGAGGGTAAGTTGCTTTGATCTTCTGATATACTGCTGTTTAAAACATTTTAATAACAAACCACTTCAGAAAATGTTCCAGGTGACACCAGTTTTATTGTTGCCCTCTACTTGTGCCGAAAACTAAGCTACAAGTCTAGATGATTCATCTCTCTTCAGTTCTGGGTAGAGAAGTTAAGTTTTGGAGAGACAAACTTTATTTTGTTTGGTGAAGTCTTACACACTGGTCACTTACATAACTCTTCACTTCCTGTAAATTAGCTGTGGATTGTGATCCATCTTCCTGCCTAGTCTGCCTCATGTGCTTGTCCTACACTTGGTAGCCTGACCAGCTCTAGATTCCCAGGGACATTTCTGTGGCCATCCAAGGTGTGGAGGTGGCACAACTCCACTTGGGCTGTGCTGAGCTGGCTGGGCTGCAGCAAGCTCTTCAGCTTTCCCATTTCGCTCATGCTGAGAGAGGAAGGGCCCTTTGAGTTGCTTTGGGCAGCAAGCTGGGCATGAGGCCACAGCTGTGGTGGCCAATGACAGACTGGGTGGCATGAAAACAGCCACCTGAACATCAATGGGAATGACTGTCCTCCCTCTGCTCAGCATGCTTTGGGCTGCATCAAGGTGCTGTGTTCTCATTTGGGTTGGCCAGTATGCGAAATACAAGGTTTGGCCAAGGTCAGCATGGAGAATAAGCCAGGGGATCAGGATTGCTCAGCCAAGGGAACAGGTGTCTGTCTGTGCCCAGCAGCCACTTGCACCTACCCACTGCTGAGACCAAGCAGCCTGATATACAAGTATGTGGCAGAAAGACAGTGGGGATAAATGGAAACCAGAGTGGTCAGAGTGAATACTGGGAAAAACTTTCCCTCCTGAGGTCAGTGGGGCCCAAGGCAGGTTGCACAGGCTCCATCCTGATGTGTTTCATGTCCCAGCTGGACACAGCCCTGAGAGTGGGGAAAAGGAGAAAAATCTTCCAAAGCTCTGGATGAAGTTGAGATACAGACTAAAGCTATTGGTTTCAGTGTACCAAAATGGGCATAAACTTTTAAAATTCTTCTCAGGTATGATATATAAAAATGTGAAAATTTGATTCCTTCTTTATTTATTTTCTCCTTGGGATAAACATGGGTATGCAAGTATTAATTATTGATGTGGTCTCAAGGGATAAAACTGAAATTTTAACTTACAATTTTACATTTATTTTTCTATTCCACTTCAAAACTATATTTGTCATTTCTTTTGCTTGTGTATCTTAGTGATTTTTGTAAAAAGCTTTGGGATCACAGACAAAATTCTGCCATCCTTGATGAAACAATAATTTCACTATTAGCTTCAATGGTGTCTTTTTTTTTACTCTTCTATTATAGGAGGGATCCTATTTCACTTTGATTACTGCTCTGTTACAGAAATAGGCAAATTAGTATTCATAATGAAATTTTAGATCCTTAGTAGAGTAGCTTCATCAGAAAAAAAAAAACCAAAACAAAACAAATAAACATTGCTGTCTTTATTATAGAGGATTTCACCCCAGTTCCGTATAAAGCTCCGTCACCTCCAAAAGCAGAAAAACCTATTCCACCGTATACTGGATTTGGTTCTGAAGAGGATTCCCTGTGCTCCTGCATGAGTTTGATTCCCAAGCCTCCCCAAAAAGATTTCAAGAAATTCATGGAAAAAGACAGGTATTTTGGTGAAAAATAATTACAACCTTTTTTTGTTATTATTTCTCCTGTAAAGGCAATGAACGTTAAATGGGAATGTAATTTTTTGGCAAAATATGCAGTTTGTCCAACTTTTAGGGGAATGGTTTATTGACATGGAACTCAATTTTCTCTGAACTCAGCAAAATTTCTGCCCCTCCCATACTTCTCCCTCATTCCCTTCTGCTGTGTTCAGTGTCAGTGTGATGGAAGTCATAGACCAGGAACTAGTCAGGAATTCTGAATGCTTCAGCAGTCCAACACTGATTTATTTTTATGTTTGACTTTTGAACATTTTCTTTTTTGCCTGCTGATTTTCACACAGCTTGCTACTGCAATATTAAAGCATAAATCCTTTACTTACCATTATGAAATACCTTGTCAGACAATGGTTGGTGAGACCTTAGTGAAAAGCAAGGTGGCATGCTAGAGAACCAGTAACTACCTGTAAAATCTACAGAGAAGAAGAAAACTATTAGAAAAGACTTGGTAGTGCATTTAATGGTACTGTAAATCATGTAAAACAATGACTTAACAAATATCAAACTAGAAAGGTTATTTGGTAGGCCTGATTTCATGGAAATGATATTAGTGTGTCTTACCATTCAGAATTTGATTTGAAAATACATTAAATACATTTTCTGTCTATAAATGCTCTGGAAAGAAAGTTTCATTTGCATCTGGAAAGAAAGCAAGCAATTCATTTGCAACTAAATTTGAATACAAATTCATTTCATAGCTTTGGCAGAGAAGTAATTTTCCCTGAAAATAATTCTTTTCTATCTGACTGAGTCTGGTTGGTTGAATTAATTTAAGCTGAAAATAATTTTTTGGAGAAGTAGGGAACTTCATGGCCTTTCCCTTCTTGATCCAGGAAAAACACAATTAATGTATTTTATGAAACATTGGAGAACGCATCACTAAGTGAATAAGACTTTTCTCTCACTCTGTTTTTTACATCTTCTTTAACTTTTTTAGATGTGGTCTTGAAAGTAACACGCTGCGCTTTCTTGCGAAACTTGCTACTGAAAATCCTATTGATAAGGATCGGAAATTCGTTATTTGTTACTTCCTGAGTGATGATACTATTTCTGTTTTTGAACATACACAGCGGAAGACAGGTAAGATGTAGCAATGTTTTGCAATCAGTCCCAGTCACTCTGCTCATTTGATTTCAGTTTACAGTGGACGTTGTGGCCAGACTCAGCGCTTGCAGAAGCGGGGATGTGGCATTTTAAGTGCAATGGGAATTACATCAGCAGATCTATTGCGTTATGTTACCTAGCTGTATGTCATAATAATTTATAATTTTCGTCATTCAGAATAGTGCTGTTCATTCTATGGCAGCACTTCACAATATCTTCTGGGGATTGGGGAAGTTTAATGCATTTGAACTTTTATTACATTTTAATTTGAAAATTTGGCCTTTAAGCATATGCTTTTCTTGTAGATAACATACAGGAATTGAACTGTAATTGCTGGCAAAAAGGGGCAGGAAAATTAAGACACTGAGAATGAAAGAGTAAATTCTTCATTTTGCAAGGAGTTAATGGTGTTGTTATATCTACATAATATCCTTTATATCAAAACAGCTCGTGAAGGCAGAGGAACCTGTGACAACTTTACATTATTAGTAATACATTATTATTAATCATGTCATGTTGAACATCCAAAGAGTGAAGGTTTTCCTGCACATGTGTGCATGTGTATATGTGCATGTGGCACAGTACTGGGAAGGACTGCAGGAGGTCATTCTGTAACTCAAAAGGGCAGAGGAGCTTTGGGTATGTGGACTCCTGCTGGAGAGAGTAGTGTTTTTGAGGGAAGGCTACAGAACATCTGTAGCAGTGGCATTGTATTTGTTAACATCCTGGAGTACCCTGGCACCTCTCAAGATGTGTGGTTAAAGGACTTACTTTAAGAAACCTGCTGTCAGCCTCTAATGAAAACCATTGGGAGAAAAAAAGTCAGAAGATCACATTGTCTCAAAGAAGAGAGTAAAGTAGTTACAGAAGTTTTTCTTAGTTATCTTGTGAGGCTCTTGTAGAACCCTAGCTCTTTTGATACTGTTTGAATGTCCTATACAGCCTTTTTGACACAAAGAGCCTTAATACAGCATCCCAGGTATGCTCTGCAGTAATGACCGTCTCACTTAGTACTGACCTACTTGGTACTGTGAGTGGTAAAGCTACCTGTCTACAGTAAAGGCTTTCTCAGGGAGGTCTGCTCATTCTTGCAACCTTGCTTGTAAGCCTTCAGAGAAAATTATTTCTTATATTAATTCATAACAGAATTGTGATGAACATCACATCCATGAAAAATGAAGATGTGAATATCTAAATCATTCTTTATTCCTAGAGAATTCTTTCTGTGGCAATGGTGCTAAGTTATTTAGAGTGCCTTTCATCTGAGTAGGGCGTTCCACATGACTTAGGGAAGATGTGAGCCTTCTCATTGCAAAGAACTTCTGATGGCATCTGTGCCTACATCAAACTGTATTATGAACGTGTAAATATAGAGACTCCATCCTCCACTTGAATGCAAGCATTTTTTTTTTCCTCAGGAATATTTTGAAAATATAGAGAGCACCTGCCTTCAATGATCTTTCTCAGGTGTCCCTGCATAAATGCAGCATAAAGCTCTTTATGGCAGCAGTGTCCTGTCAGTATTACTTTACTAGTTTTCTGCCATCCAGTGGCTTGTAATGTATGCAACTTCTTTTATACAGTTGAGTATACATATATATGTGGATTTGTTATGTAATACTGCTGTGAAGCTTGAGCAGCTCAGTTCTGTACTGGAGAATGACACGTTTGATTGGCTTGCTTATGTCTGGAGACACAAAGGATGATAAGTTTATAGCTGCATCATTAAAGAAGTCTGGGAAACAGATTGAATCTTTGATCCCAATCATCTGAATTGCCTGGTTCTCCTTTGAACTATTCCAATTAGATGTGGCCTCAGAGAGCTCAGGGCCCCTTCTGGAGGATGCTTAACTCCACACTCCTTCAGATATGGTAGGTTTACAGCCATTAAATATTGGTAGTCAAATGGAGTGTGAAACAATAAATGAACAAGTTTGCATACCGACAGAAACAAATGCTTTAAGGTACCCAAAGAAGACAAGTATCAGTATCAATCAAATAGCTTTTTTAAAGAGACAGTAGAAAGATGAAGTGGGAGGATGTGGCCAAGGTCTGACCACTGGAGAGTTTGGTGAGAACAAGATAAGAAGATTAAGGTGACAGCAGAAGTTGGAAAGAAGGCTGAGACTGCAGAATTTTCTTTGTTCCCGCTTTCTTCCTTTATTCTTTCTACCTTTCTCTTCTCTCCCTCTGTCTCTCCCTCTGTCCCTCCCTGATTTTAGTCATATCTGAAGGAAAAGAGACCGGGTTTCCTTGAGGTTAAGAATGAGAAGGCTTTGCAGAGGTCAGTTATGAGATGCAAGGAAAAAGGGTAAGGCATGCAAATAAGGAGTGAGATGAACATTCTTGTGTGAGGAGGAAAAGTGTTGTTGAAGTGAATGGGGTGTGAGTAGAGTAGGGCTGAGCAAATCTTAGAGAGAGGAGTTAAAATGGTAAATGGTTCCCAGAATAACAGCTTGACCATATCCCCTGTGCGTAGGTTCAAAGGGCATATTTTCCTGTTTTGTTTGCCTGGATTAGTATAAATTGGCAAACAAATATGTTTCAAACCTCAATCCTAAGACTGAAGTATTGAAGTTACTCCTCTAAGTTCAGTGATCTGAAGGTTGCAGAGAAGTACTTTATGCTATTTAGTAAAACTGTGAAACTGTACTTGAAATACCCAGGGCTGGACATCTTGAAGCACTTTTTTGAGGTGGGGGTCAAAACATAAAAACTTTGGCTCCCCGTGCAGGAGATCACAACCCCTTTTTTGCTCTAGACCAAGCTAGCAGCTGTGCAAACACGTACAAAGCCTGATCTGATCTTAATGGAAGAGGATCTTTGGTTGTGGTGTTTGTTTTGTGCTCTGAACCTGATTCTTGTAGATTTCCATCACATTTTCTCATCAAGTTTCAGTGTAAAATTTCTAGCCTAATTAAGTGTTTTTAGTTGTTGTTTTTCACACCATTTGAAATGTACTAACACACAACATTTAAAAACAAGTTATCCAACAGAGGTATTAAGGTAAGTGTCCAATCTAGATGCACAATTAGGTAGAAATACAAAGGCAAGAGTAAAATTTCATTCTTACAGTGATCAGTTTTGTTTGAATATTATCAATGGTTGCCAGGATTATATAACATAACATTTCATATTTGTTTTAATAGCTAAATGAAAAGGAACGTGTTAAGATTAGAGTTACATTAGTAATTTTAATTTTTTGTTTGTTTGTTTTTAATTTAAACTAGACCTGACCATTACCTTAGTGCATTTTTTGTCTTTTGCTTTAATGGTATGAGTAAAGCAATTAAGTAAGACATCTGATCTGAACTCTGGTTTAGTAAGTAGTTTGGATTTCACATTCATTTATAATTTTGACTATAAATGGCATTTTATTACACTGTTCATCAGCCTTTTGTTGAACTTGCATCACTACCTAATATATAAAGCATCATTAAATGTTACTGAAGTATGCTTTTTGGCTTTTGGCTTAGAAGCTGAGATATAAACAGGAAGCAAACCTGAGCCACTCCAGGATTGTTGTAGGGCACAAATCCTGATGAAAGTAAATGTGACAGACTGTTTTCTAGAAAGACTGGTAAATGTGATGTAATCTTGTAGTGCACTAGAGAGTGTTAATAGAAAGACAAATATTCTTTTTAATACCTTACATACCCTTGGGCAATATGGGCAGCGCTCAGTGGCGAGAGTAAAATCATTATAATGTGAAAAGAAATAATGTGACATTTCCAGTTCAGAAAGGAGTTAAGTTGCATTGGCAGAACAGTATGTGAAAGATTGTCACTTCATTTCTGCTTTTTTTTCATACTCAAAACTGCCTTAAAAACAAGTTAGAAGTGCAGTGGAACAAACTTTGTGATCTCAGTAGGACTGCTTTATCCCAAGTTGCAGATTTTTCTTTTTTCTGCTTTTTTTTCTTTTCCACTTTAACAATTCAAGGATAATTGCCTGCATCTTGCATTTTGCATCTTACATTTCTCACGGTCAGTCCCAAGGCTGGCAACAGGGTTATGGGAACCATCTGAAGAGGCAAATTTCTCTCACAATTTAGGAAAAAGAAAAAAGTGAAGGTGTTTGGCAGGCATTCAGATGGGACATATCACAGAATATGAACAGTGTAACTGTTGCTGTGGACACCAGCAGAGATCTTTCCTTTAGAAATGAGAGGGAGGAGGGAGAGCATAATTTGAGACAAGAAACCTGGGGATGAAAACTAATATTTAAATACGAACTGTCTGACTTTGAGAGGTTTTTTAGCTCCTTTTTGTGTTTTTGGTTTTTGTTATCATGTTTATTTTTTTTCCTCCAAATCAAAGTCACAATTAATTATTTACAATTTTATTTCCATAGGGATACTTGGTGGGAAGTTCTTGGAAAGAAGTCGCATTAAAAAGCCTGGGCAGGAGCTCTTTAAGAGTGAACCATCTGAATACTTCAAGGCTCAGGATCTGTTTATTGGAGCCAGAGTTTGTTTCCATGGCCACAACTTTCTTTTGGTGGATGCTGATGAATACACTATCAACTATATGGAGAAGCATGCAAATGAGGTGAAGCAGGCTCTTGTTATTCTCTGTTGGCTGTATCTTATCTATATTGTGTTTTTCAGAATAAGTTATGCCTAATTTCTTCACCTAAAGTTCAGAGCCCAGTGCTTTGCTTCTACCATTGAATTTAGGAGATGCTAGAGAGGGACAGCATGTAAACCTGGATACTATCTACTGTCCATTCCCCTTCCACATTTTCACCACCTATGCTTACACTTTAAAACCACCCTTAATACAGTATCTCTGTATATTTATTCTAGATACTGTTTATCAACCTCTTGCCTTTGAGTTTGCTCCAATTCCTTTTGAACCTACAGATATTATTTGCTTCCACAGCTTTGTGTGGCAGTAAGTTAAAAGATTCATTGTCTTTTGTCATTGTCTTTTTGCAAATAAATACCTGTTAGAAGGAATAAGCATCTTACTTGTTACAAACTAACCCACTACTACATTCAATGCAAGTCCTAGTGATTTGGGGTTTGGTGAAGATTTCCTTCCCCTTATGTAGCGCCTCATGTTGTTGTAAATCTAAGACTTTCTTTCTACTAAACCTAATTCTGTCAGAATAAGAGTCTCATCCAAAGAAAGGTTCCATTGCTTTTAGTGTGCCCTTGCCAGGCAACTGTGAGATGTAGAGAGTGGAACTGTATACAGCACTCGATGCAGCCATATCTAGTGTAGAATCTGACTGGTGAGGCTATTTTATTGCCTGATTGGCAATAAAATATGTGTTCATACATATTTATTTCACAAAATACATTGCTTTTTAAAATTATAAATTTGTATCGCAGAAAGGATTTGGGGCTTACAGTTTGTACTGAGTGTCACTACCTTTTGATGTTACCTTCTGAGGGGACAGCAGTAATAAGTAGAGAATTGGAGTGCTTCTGTTTATGTGTACTTTATGCTACCAGTCATCACAGAGATGACTGGTAAAGAAAAACCAAGAACACATTCAATATATATATATATACAAGAAAAATGGATTGTCCTCTAGCAATTGTCTCTGAGGTCAAAAACAGAAAGGATACAGAGGTGGAAAACGAGAAGAAAGAAGAGTCACAGTGAGTTCTGTGGAGTTTTATTTTCACCTGATTGAAAAAAAAAAAATAATGATGAACTTTGCTAAAATACTTGGGGGAAAAAAAAAGACAACTGTGATTTACTTGGGAATTCTTACTGGGAGCAGTTCTAAACCAGATAATCTTAACAGTGCATGAGCTCAGAAGTCGAGACATTTCTGCATCCCCAGCCCCTTTTTAGGCTTGTTTTTTAATCACTATGTAATCTTGAGTATTGCCCTTTGGACAATGTACTGTGAGGCCTTGGGGTTGTGTCTATGCTTCATGAGTGATGGTGGGGTCACAGTGTCAACAGTGCCTACTGCAAGCTTCCAGAACTGCCCATTGCTTAATCTTGTTGAGAGCATGACTGGGGAGAATATCCAGGAGTGCTTATCAAGCTACGAGACACCGTTCTCTGCCTTTTGGTCCAGACTTTTTCAGAACAGGGGTGGGAGAGGGCTCTCTGTGCAGAGTTCAGTTGTTCCCTGTCTGCCGGCTCACCACAGTTGAGTGAACCTGCAAGGCTCTCAAGATATCAGTAGCCCTAGCATAGTCTTAAGGACTGAGAGTTTCATCCTTGATATCCTTCTGCTGTTGAGGTAGAGATAGATGCAATCTGACCCTGTGCTGCCTTTGGGCCACGTGTGCTGTTCTTGATTGAAAATGGCAGAACGGTGTGGTTTCTTTGCAATGCAGAATTAGCACCACCTGCCTTCCCTAGAGCAATGAGGAATGTCTGCAAATGCTTGTTGATATAAAATGTTATGACTGCTAAATGCTTTAAGCAATAAAATACAAAGCTATATACATTGTGTTTTCTTACTGCTGGACTGTTTGTTCTCTTAGTAGAATAAAAATCAAAGCTGTTCTCCAAAATGCATCATGCATCATTAGGTTGTAAATGTTCTTTGGAACTGCTGTTTGCATTGATTATCTTGAAACAAATAAATGCAATCTTAGTTTTCCAGACTGAATGATTTTACATCATCAAAATAAAATCTACTGAATGGGAAGAAACAGTACTAAAAGTACTACTTTTTAAAATGTTCTTTGCAAGGTGAAGATTTCTTACTGGTAGGAAAAAAGATAGGTTTATTCTCCAATGATAGATGTTTTATTCACCTCCTTTGGCAAGAGGTCCAGAAGTAAGGATACACTTAGCTCAGTTGATGAAGGAACTATATATTCAAACCACAAGACTTTGAACAGTTGTTAGAGAGGAGACAGAAGATGATTAGAAGTAAGGGAAACATTTTTAAGATTAATATTTGTCAATTGTTTCTAAAATTAGAAAACCTTTTTCCTTCTTTATAGAGAGAGGTTTCTTTTCAGCACAACACTTTGGAATCTTTTCTGAAAACTAGTGAAAACAAATCTGGGTGAAATGTTTGCCTTTTGAAAAATGCCATTGATTTTCTGTTTCAAAATTTGTTGTATTTAAAGGAGAGGGTGAAAAAAAATCAATGAATCTTTTCATTGTGATGATAGCCAGTAATGAAAGTAACTTGAAGGATCTAATTTTCAAAACATTTTAATACAAGTAGTTTGTTTTCCAGTTTGAGAAAGAAAGATGCGTTTAGAGTAATCTTACTTCCAAATGAAATATTTGTGTATTGCTCAATCATTGACTGGTACTATCCAGATTCAAAGAGGATTCTTTCAAGCAAGGCATTGCTGTTTCATCTTAGAAATTTATTCATCAACTCTGAATGGTCTCAATTGTCTTAACTTCGTAGCCTTCTGTATTAACTTCATAGTCTTCTGTAGTACAGACATGAAGGTTGATTTTGCTTCCATTGAATTCAACATAATAAGCTCTGACATGGGCATTAGCAAGAAATGAAACAAAACAATGCTGTGACATCAGAAGGTCAGCAATTGCATGAGAAGTTGGGAAAGTGGGTAAAGAGTACCAGGCTGCTCACATACCAGCTGTTTATACATAGGTGTTTGCAATATATAGTTTAGGAAGAAGTTGTAAGAACAACTGCTTTCTCTGTGTAGATATGGCATTTTTTTAAGCAGACAGGAAGCTTTACCCATCTTTAAATACTCCACTGATTGATTCAATTGACTCTGCCCCAGATTAATGACCAAACACATAGGCATCAATGGTAAAAATGAGCATAGCAAATAAATCTTTGGTAGAGTTCTAACACAGCAGTCGGAATATAGGGTAGAATCCTAAATGCACCAGTGCTGTTCATCTGAATTCAGTTTTATTTTAATCACTTATTTAGGAAGAAATAAGCATTCTTGTTACATGATAAGAAAATTGTTTCCTAACCAATTTCCAGTCTGGTAATTCTGAGTTTGTAAAGCATAGTCAGTCTGATATGAATGAGAATATCTGTTGAAACAGTACATTGTAGCCAATGACTTAGCTTAGCTTTGGATTGGTGAAGTTCATTAATAGAAAACTAAGTGAAATGCACCAGCAGAAAATGAGGACGAAGATATTAGAGCTGCACTTTGAATATTTCTGCTTCTGTTTTAACAACTCAGTGCTTGAAGCAAAAGTCGATGTCCTTTCATGTATCTGGAATAAGCTTTCTGATAGTTCATGAGCAGATGATTGTTATTATTTTTGTTTTATATTCTCAAGAGTTTTTTTTTTTTTTTTTTTTTTTTCCAGTAGCAACTTTCCCTCCAAACCTTGCAGATTTACACATTTGAAACGAAGCAATGAAGAAACTAGCAGCTCAGAATTGTTCTGCATCTTCACAATTCTTGCTGGTACATGAGTTGCATAGTGCCTTTCTCTCTAATGTATGTCTTGCTTTCCTTTGTTAAGTTCGCTGTGGCTGATGCTGGTTTCATCTTCAAGAAACTGAAAGATATAGCCGAACCTCGTTCCCGAGAAATCAGACAGGTGTTTGCAGCTGCTGACCCTCAGCATACCAAGGTGATAGAGTATGACCCTTTCAGGTGAGACAATGGGTTTTCATTTTTAATATTTAATGAAGGCACATTCCCCCCAAATATATAGAGCATTAATATTTCTTCATGCTTTCTGCACATATTAGCTGACAAATGGTGTATGTTTCTTCACGTTTACTTCAAGAATTTGTGCGGAAAAAAGATAGTGAGTCCATGCCTTGGAAAAAGAGAAATGAGATAGCTTCAAGTAAGCTGAAAAACTCTACTAAATTCTGCCTGCTTTTCATGGATCTGGCTACTATGAAGAAGTGCGATAAAGCAGTAATTATTAAAAAATAAAATATTTACTGAGAGATAAATCTAAGCTGAGATAGTCAAACAAATGAATTAATAGTTCACAAATTCAGTAATTTATGCCTTCTGAAAATGGTGTTATTAACGTTTTAAATTACTGATGAAGAGGGTTGTCTACACAGAACCGAAGTGTACTAAAGTTACTGGATCAGTGAAAAGCATCTTTCAAAAACTGGAAAGCAGTTGTGAGAGCAATACTTAACACTTGCATAGTAATTTCAGCAATATCAGAGCGAGTGGAAATTTGGACTCTGGTAATGATCAGGATGTGGCAATGAACAAGGATATATAGTTACTTTGAAGGGGAAATAATGTTCAAATGCAAGCTGATTTCAGTTCATCCCACGTAACACTTGAGCTCATGAACTGTGTTGCATACTGGTAAAGTTAGCGGTGTGGAACAAAGGAGATCTTACCTAGAAGCATTTTGGTTTTCACAGTGATGATATACATTTAGGAATGATCATAATAAAATCATAAAATGTGAGCATACTGCATGTGCATCACTATAGAAATGGTAACTGAGGCTGAAAATTCCTTGTGAAATAAGCCAGAAGACATTCAGAGATGTAGAAGTTTCTTCTAGTGAAGTGAAAGCAGTGACAAATGATAACTGGTATTTGGAAATCCAAAACTGAGTGATTAAAAGCAGGATTCAAACTAAGGAAATCCAGAGCTATAGGTAGTTTTTTTGTCAAAACATTTCTAGACTCCAAGATATTTTACTCAACAGAGGCAAGATTTTAAACTGCTAACTGAATTTAGAAGGAAAATGTTATTACTAGAGTAAGAAAGAGATAAAATTGAAAATTAATGTGCATCTGGATAAACTTTATGGCACATGAAAAAGATTTTAATTTATATGGTTAATAACTTTTAAGTAAAAAATAGTTGTAATTCAAATTATGAAATAATTTGCAAATAATTATTTGCATATGTGCTATGAACAGGTCAAGCTTTCAGAACATTTTCATGACAAGATTGGTGGAGCACAGATTTAGAAGGGATGATTTTGCCTTTAAACAGCAGGGAATTATTTTTATTTTATCAAGCAGATAAGTGAATATAATTACAGCCCAGCTGTTTGATTTAAGTTGGTGCTATTCTGTGACATGGAGCAGATTACAAATTACATTGTACTGAGGCACTTGGTTTCAGCAGTAGAAGTGCAAAATCCTTCACCATGAGCAAGAGAAAAAGTGGGAATCCGTATAATGATCCTTTAGCCTCACTGCTCATACAGGGGAGTCTGAGCACCTGCTAATGGTCTGCATCCCTCCTGCTAAGGTGCTAAGGTCCCAGACAGATGGCAATCACACTGCCAGAGGAAGGATTTACCTCTAAAGAGCATTTGACTTATATGCCTTATAGTAACGAATAGTGTATATATGGATATAAATAGACTACTACGTAGTAGTTTTTACTTTAAATCTGTTTTGGGAAAGAAACCTTTTTTAATGACAAAGGCAAGAGAGAGCTTTTTTTGCATCTATGACAAGTGATAGATATTTTTCTGTGAAAAGAATATGTATTTCTCTTTCAATTTTCTGTTTTCTTGTTTGCATCACTGGTTATTTTAAATCTATCATGGCATTTCAGGACAAAAACTAACCACAAATGATTATTTTTAATACAAGCAATTACTTGAATGACAGCTTCAGCCAGCATAATAATCCCCTTATCTTAAATACAGCTAAAGCATTTTGTTGTTCAGATTTCTACCTGCATGAATTTATGCAAGCTCCATTTAAACCTACACATTTAAAACTGCGATTATACAATTTACTTTATTCTCAGTACGCAAACCTATGGCACTCAAGGAGATAAATACATGTCACATACTGAAGCTATTGCCTAAGCTGATGTTTGAAATATAAAAAACTCTGTTAGAGAGGAAAAGAAAATAACTAAAACTTGGAAGCCTGTGTACCACACGGTCCTAACCAGAATGCTTTTTCTCAGAAGCTACTGGCAAGACAGTTCATTGTCAGCAACAGAGACCCATGTGTGGGTTTAACAAAGATGTCTATCTTTAATTCAGCTTGAGAAACAGCCCTCTTAAGCAATTAATTATTTCTTCTTTCTCTACCAAATTTAGATTGCAATCTGTCCTGCTCTTCTAGAACAAAAAGAAGTGATAGAAGAGACAATGAAGCTGTGGGAACAATTATTGCAGCTTCTTTCTTTTTGAGAGGAAGAATTTAGATGTAATTCTGTATGTGAATATTGGATCTCACACATTAGTAATCACAAGAAAATTCCTTAATTCCCAGATGAGACAATAATTGAATCTGAGGTTCTGATGACATGATTGTCACTGACTTCCTTGAGAAAATATAAGAATTCTAAAAGCTGAACACTGGAAAAATCCAGTCTGCAGATTCTTATTCACATGGGTAAAACCGCATTCAGCTTTGATAGCCCAGACATTTAGAGTGCCAGTCTTACTAGGCAGTTTTGTCCTCTATTTCATGTTCTCACTAATATACTTGAGTATACGTAGAAAATTGTAGTAACTATATATGTAATGTAGATAATGATATTCAGTGTGAGTAATAACAATAGTAACAAGATAATATAGGTAGCTGGAACAAGTTTTGGTCACTGAGTTTGCATAAACTCAATAAGGTTTGGATTGTTTTGTCCTTTCCTTGTATTTATCACCTTGCATTGCAAATAAAAGAAGTTTCTGATTACAGTATGAAGAAGCAGCAATTGACATAGATGCTATATGGTGATTAGCATCCTTTTTTGAACAGCTGTGCATATTCTATGAAGAGGTGTCATCATTTGAACAGGACTGCAACAGCCTGAAAAATTACATTTATTAACAAAATTTTGTAGTTTTGAAGAGTACTGAATTTCTGTGCTTTCAGTTCAGATACAGATGTTAAGAGAATCATTATCAGAATCAGCAAGGAATTTAACTGTTCCTCAGCCAGTAGTTTGAATCTGATGTCAGATTTTTCTCCATCTCTAGTAATTTCTTCCATTTCAATGACTGGTATGTAATCACAATGATTCAATACCCACAGGAGTGCCACAAGATACAGTTTTAATTGCGTCAACCATTATGATAAAGTTTAGTCCCAGTGCAGTTTTTGCAGAAACACCATAAATAGGTAATTAATGTTGACTGAAATACATAAGTCTTTCTTGATGCTTGCTGTTAAGAAAATCCGACTGAATGTGAGTTCACTGGAGACAGACGTGGAATTGTAATGCCAACGTACAGGTACACAAATCAAGGTTTGTAGGACAGGAAGCCTTGTAACTACAGAGGTAACCTACAGTCCAGTTTTCTCTGGAAAATGAGAAGTCCCCTGGATTTTCTTGCTACTGGTGTTTTTCTTCCTACTGGTGTTTTTCTTCCTTCACGCTGAATCAACATCCAGCATATATGGAAAAACTCTGAAGGCAGCACAGTCCCAGCTGCAAGGCTTTCATCATCATCAAAAGCAGTCCTTCTCCACCCCTCCCCCAGTAATATAAACTAGAAGGCTTTATGGATAAATCTATACGTATAAAAATATATACCAATGTATACCAACTTCTATGTATAACTAAACTAACTTAATCCCAGATTTTGTGTCCATTTGTGATAAGTGCTTAGTTTGTAGTCCATAAACTATTAGTATATAGTTTATATAAGTGATAAGCCCATAAGTGCTTTCAGGAGCTTACCCCCAAATCACTCCCATGCTATTATCAGCAACAGGAATGAACTAGTCATTCAGTGCCAGCACTGACCTATCAGATGGATCTCAGGAACACTCATTCCTTGGATTGGGCTGATTCTTCTAAGCAGCACAAGCATCCTTGTGAAAGGACACTTCAAGCTGACCCTGTGGGCTCTGGCAGTGTCTGATCATCAGCTGGTCTCGCTACTGCCTCTTGTGTTCCTTTCTTACCAGGAGATTGTGATTACAAATTGGCTGTAATTTTCTGCCCTTTCTCTGTGGCCAGTTTCAGTTCCCCCAGCTTTCCCATGAATACTACCCAATGGGACCAGCTTTCATAGTGCATTGTGGAAAGTGACTTAACACTTGATTAATGTTCTGTTCTTTGTTGGTGTCTTCTGACTCACTTTTCTTCTGCTGTTATTAATTCTTTTATGCAACTCTCATTGTACATGCTTACAGACAATTTACAAATAATTGATCATATACCGCAGTATGCAGAATACAATTAGAAACAAAATAGTTCCTTGTATAATTTACTACATTTTTGAACAAATGTAGTGACAAAGATAATCTCTGCTAATGTTCTGTGCTAGTACAGCATTGTCAGGTAAGGCTTCCATCAGGTTTATAAAGTGTTTTTTTGTGTTTGGCCAACAACAAAGGAAGCATAGACATCTTCCAAAAGTTAAATGTCAAGTACTTCCCATTAAACTTTCTTGAACAAGCCTGGATTTCAAATTTAAATATTTTAAATAAATACAGCCTTTTATAACGAGTGCCCTATAATAGATGTTTCCATGGGAATTTAGTGATTATTAACTTCTTAACTACTCTACTTAAACTAATGTAGGCTGCTGTTTTTGTGAACAGAAATTTGATAGTCAGTATCACGGATGGAGCGTTTTCAGAGCATGAGATTATGACTCTTGGACGCCATTACAGAGAGAAAGAAGAATATGAAATGGACCACTACTTCCTCCTTGCAAAGGCTCAAGAACAGCTAAAGAAAAATACTTTTGAGAATTTTGAACAACTATCTGTAGTACTTGCGTACAATGACCATGAAAAGTAAGTTTCCTCTAATATCCTTGGCTGTTATTTGGAAAACTCTGCTTGGAAGCCTACCTACTTTCTGTTTGTTGCTAAGCAAATGATAGGTTGCAGTTGCAGAATACTTTTTCTAAAGTAAAGCCTTTTTCGACACTTGACAGCAAACAAGGAAAGGATAGCCTTTTTTGTTTGCTTTTTATTTTGTTCATTGACTTTTTGCTCTAGCTGCTATGCTGAGTATTAAGTGACCTAATAAGATGCCTGTTCACAAGCAAAGCAGTATATTAAATCAAAGAGGAAAATAGGGATTTAACAACAGCAACAACAACGATGTGGGATCACTTGCCCTTTTTGTTCTGTGATATCACAGATAAAGAATAACAGAGAATCGCTGAGAACCTCAGGGAAGGAATACAAGCTACCACATGCACTTCAAGTTTATCAGCTGTGTAACAGTGAAATTTCATAAACTGCATTTTTATTGTCCTACAATTCCTACACATTTCTCTGTTCACATTGACATTAACTTGAAATAAATCTAGCAAATACCTAGTGCACAACTCTCACTGTCTATTTCTGTTTGTGTAGATGTGGAGTGTTACCCTATGAGACCTGCAGGACTGTTTGCAAGTCCTTCAAGTTGCCATTGTCCGATGATCTTCTACAAACTATACTGACCATGTAAGTTAAAAGCAGATAGTACGATCTCCATGGGTACGAATCAATCTCAAATATCTACTTAATACTTTCTTATGAGATTGTCATTTCAGTAATCTTAATCATTACATTATGCTGATTTTTTTTCCCCCCCTATATATGTGTAGACTTTCCTATTTGCAGAATGATTATAATCAACTACTATGTAACCATCTAAAAAACATCTTTGTTTTTATCTGGCATGGTAGATCACCTGGATTCTGCCAGAATTCTGTGAAATTAGTATTGTGGTAGTCAACTACTGGTGCTTACTATTATCAGTATGACTTTATTTTGCATTTGTGCCTCTTTCATATATGTAAGGTAAAAACAATCTCATGTAAACACATTATGTGAGTTTCAAGAAAAATACCAAGATGAATACAATGTCCTTGATTCATTGACACATTGAATCAATGAAAATCATTCAAGCAGTCTTCAAGCAGTAGTAAATAAAAGTGCTTTGTTTCTCTTTTTAATCTCATCTGAAAAATTCATTTTAGTGTAATTGTTAAAAAGGAGTATTGCTGCATTTGGCTATTTTTCCATAGCACGTTTAATTATTTTGAAACGAATTGAGTAGGCTGTATTCATGGGAATAGAAATGAAAAGAACTAATATTCAGTGCAGTTGTTTAAAGGCTAGAGTTGAGAGTAACTCATGGTGTTCTGAATACTTGTGTCATGGTGAGTTTGGTTTCCATTGATTTTTGCAGCTTTACTGGAAACAGGTAAAATACATGCTCACTGGTCTTTTCTTTCCCTCAAGGGAAACCACTGACTATTTCGTCTGTGCCTTCCAAGTATGTAAAATGCAGAAGCAGGTCTTGTGACATTTAGATGTTTTCAGGTAGATGTGCTTCTTGATTTGAGGATTAATTTCAAACCTAACATCTAGACTTATGAAATAATGAGTACACTCTTGTCAAGCAGAAAGGTGGAATCCATTTCATTATATTTACTTACTGCAACCAAGGTTTCTCACTTCAGTCAATACCAACAAGTTTTCTTTAAGAAGCCTAAGAGATTATTTTCTTCAAAGCCCTTTTCCCCCTAGACCAAAAACTTCCAGAATATTCCCTTCATCTTCGGCAGTTGATTGGCTGTTCATCACTTCTGACAATTGAATTACAACCGTTAGACATCAGAAACATGCTTGAATTTTAGCACTAATCTAAAACTCAATTTTAGAATTCCCATTAAGCTTTCCAACACAAAAAGTGTTGGAGGACACTACTAAAGTTCTGCTAAAGAACAAGTTCTCATAGATTCACTTTATAAAGGCTGCAGTTGAATAGATACAGAGACAAGGGACTGGAGATTTTCCTTTATGTACTAATTCAACACTGATGAAAAACAGACAGGCCTACTAAGCTCTAGAGACATGTTTATTGTTTGTGAATTTGTACTAGGAAAAGCTTTTGTGAGATGAATCTCTTCTCTTAAAGAGTCTTAATGTAGGCAGATAAGAAGAAAAAGCCCAGTACATTACAATAAAAATAAGAGATAAGCTTAAAAGACAAGGAGGAAGCCTGGATTTCTCCCAAATCTAGACAGGTATTCATGACAGCAGAACTGGGTCTCAGCCTCTGTAGGTTCTTTCTGTAGGGGATATAGGAGAGGGAGTAATTTCAGCCTGTGTTAGAGCTGGATTTCTAAACTACCACCCATTTTCCCGTGAAATGGGCCATGGCCAGCTAGTACGCCAGATTTCTGTATAAGAAAGTTACATAGTGTGAAGCTGGGCCTCAGAAAACTGTAGAGGTAGTATTCCATATGACAGTGTGATGAATAATGCTGATTCTAAATTACAATAGTAGCAATTCTGAAAAATGCTAATTTTTGTGGTAACTACACTGCCAATAAGAAAGAGTGTTGCATTCTTAATATTGTGTGCAGTTGACACTGCCTGATAAGTGTACTGTTTCTGTATTGTTTCAAGAGAGTGTAGAGTCAGGGAAAGATGTTGTGAACTGTATTTCATAGAATTTAATTTCCAGTAACCTAGAAGCTGAAAAGTAGAGTCAGCTGAATAAGATTTAGAGTTTTCTTTTTGTCTTGCTTCTTCTAGTTCTCTTTGTGACTGAAGAATCATGAAACAGATAGGTTTACTGTTAACGCAGACTAGTCTGGCTCCTGGGAAGTACACAATTCAATAGGGGCAAAGTTTGTAAACAATATTCTCTCTTTGTTTTTGGATTTTTTTTTTGCTGTTGTTGTTGTTTATTTTTGATGAGGATGTATGCAATTTTTTTTCACAGATGCTTCTGAAGCAAGTAGCAGTAGTGTTCCTAATGTGTATATCTGAATTTATGAAAGAAGAAAATGGTACAATAAGACTTGTTAGACTGATTCCCACAAAATCAGTATAGCTTAATGCACTAGCTGGACCCTGTTCAGCTATAAAATGAACCTAGACAATGTGATCAGATAATCATTGAAGACTGAAGCTATATGTTTATTCAGCTTTTCTCTGAGATTGGGTGGCAAAGACTTTCTGTTGGACTTAATGGTTTCATTTTTTTTTTCATTTTAAAAGGTAATACCCTTAAAATATTTATTATTTACATCTGTAAATCACACCACAATGATCTATCACTTATTAAAATCAAGGGATGGAACTAGAAATTGTCATCTAATTTTATGATCACCTCCAGATGACCCAAAACTTCATATACTGTACCTGAAGAACATTCAGTTTCCACAAAGTGCAGAGAGAATTAGCATGAAGACTATGAAGATTCAAAAGACCCTTTTAAATTGTCTGTCTGAAGTAAATTTATATTTGCGATTGTTGTGGGATGGTGAAATAGTAGGATTTGGGTACCCAAAGTTTCTGTAATTCACAAAATCACAGAGTTTCAGAGATTGGAAAGGACATAGAAGGAGACTCCACAGCCTCTCTCAACAAACCTCTAGTTTATTAAAAATGTATTTCCTTTCTCCACCAGCCTTGTTTCATGTAGGTCTTCAATTATACGACTATATAAATTATTTAATCACAATTCATTAAGCAATGCAGATGCTACACTCTTGTTTCTGCCAGTAAACTGCTTGTTTATTATAAACACTTCTTTAGGTTTGTGCAAGCATAATTAATGTATAATCAATGAATATTAAGATGTTATAATTATAAAATAAACAAGAGAATTAGGCAAAACAGATTATGATAACAAAAAGAGAATAGATAGAAAGCTTACCCCTATCCTGGGCTCTCTTGCAAAACTCCAGCAGAATGGATCTCCAGAAGAGATCCTTTCACACTGGCAGCCAGCTCTTCAATAGGTCTAGGAGAGGTGCAGCCAGGCTCCACCCCTTCCTGCAGCACAGGTGAATTGCCTTCAGCTGTGCTCCTCTGGCTGACTCAGTGCTCACCTCAGGTGATCAATCAGAGGTTCAGGCCGTGACTCAGCAGTTCCCATACAATTAACAATTAACAGTTATCATTTGTTTAATGAATAAATGTTGTTGTAGTGCTGAAGAAATGAATCTAGATGTTTTTTCTTTAATATTTTAATTTGCTGCAATGTTCAATGTAAGCTAACAGGGACTGGGAATGATGCAGTCCTTCCCCAGAAGGTTTTTATATATATATATATATATATATATATATATATATAAAAATAGGTGTCAGATAACAGAAGAAAAAGATGGTGGGAAAAAGAAACGGATGACGTTTACTTGTCAATGATCTTGTTTAGCTAAGCGTATGTCCCTATTTTTAAAATATCTTTTAGTTTTGCTTAAAATTGGCTGCATAGTTCTTTTCTGCACAGTGCTAGACTGAGTCTATTGAACTCTGGAGGAACATTTGTGGATTTTAAGCTGTGGAAGCACAAGCAGTGGGACAGAAGTGAATTTTTTTTTTTTTTAAATAGGTAAATTAATCTTTAGTGCCTCAGGTAGCAGTGCTACTTGATGCAACTTACAATGAGCCTCCTAGTTGATCACCTGGTTCTCATGCCACTAAAAGACCAAGCCTCTTCTGTCTGCCTGGTATTTCCCTGGTTTGTACAGTATCTTTTTCTTTAACATAATCACCTACCTCTAATAGTTTGTTTACACTTGACCTGCTTCACTTAGAAAGCTAACCAACTGTCTTTTCTTGCTGTGAGATGTGTCCTGGTGGCAGCACCATGATTGGAAATGGTCATGAAATCATTCTCCTGCACTCTGTTTCTGCTTGTTACCTTTAATGCCCAAAACTCACTTGGCTGTTTATTATGAAAAGACTCCAGCATGAATATATGGATCTCTTAAGAGAAATTATTTCTGTTATTTGTTATCATGAAGAACTGACGGTTCAATTTATTGTAGTTCAAGAGGAGAATAAATGTATATCCAAGATAGCAGCCTTTCTTAGCTAACACTGATCAGCTGCATCTGTGCTTACTACCTTAAAACTTTTTGTATAAGCTATTTTTGAAAATTTAGGTGTATATTGTGTTACACAGGGATCGTCAAGTAGCTGAAGAATCCCAGCTTTTTTTTTTTTAAAGCTTAAAACAACATAATGCCTCTTTTCTGCTAGTATCAGATAAAACTACTTAATAAATGCTATTAAAAATAAAAGCATACGAAATCTTTACATGTACATTAGCATTTATTATGAATTTTTGGTTTCAGCTTTCTTGATGGGAAAGAAAATATATTCATTAATAGCCTTTACTCACGAAAGCAGCCTCAGAAATAACCATCATGTAATTTCACTGGATTTTTAACATAGCTGGAGTTTTTCATTAGAAATATACTTTTATAAGCAGAAATATGTGATTATTTCTGTGATGTGAAAGAGAGTAGCTAGCAACAGGACAAGAGGGAATGGCCTCATGTTGTGCTAGGGGAGGCTCAGGTTGCATATTTGAAAAAACTTCTCCAGAGAAGTAATGAGGCATTGAAACAGGCTGCCCAGGGAGATGATGAAGGTGTTCAAGTACCATGTTGATATCGCCCTGAGAGACATAGTTTAGTGGTCATAAATGGATTGTTGGACTAGATGATCTTAGAGGTCTTTTCCAACCTTAATGATTCTGTGATTCTGTTCTACGATTGTGTTGTAGGAGAAAAAAAAACTCTGCAGACATTGTTGGGGTTGGGGAAATGACTTACACAATCTAAAATCACATGGATTGTTTAAGTCATAGGGCAAAACCAGAGAGAAACAGATTTGAGAGATCTTTGTTGTATCTTCTTGATAAGACAAATCTAATTTCCTCACTGAAAAGCACTGTCAGTTTCAGTCATATTAATTCCGGCTCTGAAATGTATGGCATCTCTGTCCTAATAATGCAGAACTTGATAACATCTCTTCATTCCATCTGGATGTTCTGTACTGAATTACAAGTATGTGCATTTAGTAGATTGGTGCAATAAGTCACAGTAGTAAAAAGATGTAAAAAGTAGATTATTTCCTCTGGATTAGTCTAGAGTGATATTTGAAGCTGCTTTCTGCAGCTTTTAAAACATGGGACTTAGTAGTCCCATTTCCCATGCCCACCTTAAAACTATAGTTGACTTCATGTGAGTGGTGTTGCTCAGCTTGCTCATGCTGTCAGTTCAAAGGAGTTTTCTCCTTTGTAATGCTTGTTGAAAGCAGAACCAATGTTTTTCCTTAATTTCATTGCATCAACATAAAATAGATGCTGAAGAAACGACACCCCGTCTTTTAAACTTCACTTAAAATTCCTACTTATGCAGCTCTGCATCTTGATAGTAACCTTATATTCTGAATTTTCAGAAATAGAAAAAGCTTAATAGATACATGCTAGTATATATGATAGTAAAAAAAAAAAAAAAAAAAAAATTAATGGTTGTTCTGAGATTCAAAATCTGTTTGCCACAGTTTTATTTCCAAGAGCTTTTTTGTCTTGTTACTCCCAATACAAAACTCTTTTGTTTCCCCAGTTACCACCTGCAAAAAACCCAACCTAAACCAAACCAAAGCTATAAGGGGAGGGTTTCTCCTGGCAATGTTTCAGACTCATCTTTAATGTCAGTAACAGTAGCATTCTTCTCTGTCTTTGCTTTTATCTTCAGTGTAACGCACTGTACTTAACATTTTAGTTTATCACTAGAATCTCTGTTCATGACTTCCAGTATATTTTATATTATCTGCTGACTGTTAAATGAAAGGCATGGGGGGAGGAGAGGAAGAGGATGAGTTGCAGTTTATTTTTGTCACTAGATTTATTTCTCTTCCAGTATTGTTTTCCCAGCTTATGCTGTAAAATCATCCTTCAAGTACCTTCATTCTTTATTTTTACGAGGGCCCTTTCAGTGATTTGGAGAACTGAAGGGTTTTGAGGCCCATGTTTTGTGCAATGCTATTTCTTTAAGAACAAAATAAAATGGTTGTCTAAAGAAATTGTTTCCGGGAGACGACAGTGTGTCATCTTGCTCCTACACATACAATAATATTTGTCTCACCATGTTACATGGTAGAATTGTTTAACCTGATGTTTCCACCAAAAATAGCTTATTGAGTCTATCTAGTCATATATATTTCTCTGTGGACACTAGCAAAGCACAGATGCTTTCAGGATGTGCTTAATCTGCCTAAGCCAGATCCCTTTTACACTGAAGTAGTGCTAGGTAAGACAGATGCCATTCACATCCTAATGTAGTATGTATAGTAAGTATAGTAGAGCAGTTAACTTCATTTCTGTACAATCCCTGTGGGCATTCGAGGCTAGACTGGATGTGGCTCTGGGCAGCCTGGTCTGGTGGTTGGTGACCCTCCACATAGCAGTGGGTTAAAAACTCAGTGATCATTTTGGTCCTTTTCAACCCAGTCCGTTCTATGATTCTATGATTTCAAAAGCAATCTGCGTTTGTAGCATCAATTCTGCAATGAACTTCAGCCTGCAGTACCTTTCAAACATTTGACTGAACCCACTGAAACAATTGGATTTCTCTATGCATTAAGCACCTAAGTGTTTTGCCAAATTGAGTATTTTTTTTTTCTTTTTTTTTTTTTTTCTGAAGCCACTTTGTACAAATCAATGGCATGGCTTACAGATCTGCTCCTAGCGAGTTTATGTTAACGTGCAGTAGTAACTGTAGAACTTAACTGGTAAGGTTTATATCTCCATGTAACAGATGCTAAATATTACAAATATTTACTTCATGGAAATAAATTATTACCAAATGAAATGAGTTGAAATTTTAAAATCTGGTTATTAAATGGTAGGCTAGAGAGCTGCATGTTTGTTAACTGGAAACTGATTCCAAGGTTTATGCAAAAAGCATTTTTAAGGCATTGCTTGTTTTCAGGAAGTGACTGAGAAACTGTATAAAGCAGGTCACTTGTGTTATAGTACAACTCTCTTGTGTTAAAGAATCACAGAATGTTTTAGGCTGCAAGTGATCTTCAAGATCATCTAGTTCCAACCCACTGCTATAGGCAGGAACACCTCCTGTTAGACCAGGTTGCTCAGAGCCCCATCCAGCCTGGGCTTGAGTGCTTCCAGGGAGTTGCCTCAGTGGGCAACCTGTTCCATTGTCTGACCACCCTCATAGTAAATTTCTTCCTAATATCTAGTATAAGTCTGCCCTCTTCCAGTTTAAAGCTAGGGTCTCACAGGAGCAGAGCAGAGAGGCAGAATCACCTCTCTCAGCCTGCTGGTCACACTTCTCTTGATGCAACCCAGGCTACAGTTGGCCTTCTGGGCTGCAAGCACACAATGCCAACTCATCTTGAGTTTTTATCAACAGACCCCCCCCAAATCCTTCTCTTCAGGGCTGCTTTCAAACCATTCTCCACCCAGCCTGTATTTTCCAATATCCACTCTATTTGGACACGTTTTCCAATGTATATTTCTAGCTGTTTCTTTTCTCTACAAAAAAATTGTACACTGACTTTCCCAAATCTATTTATCACCAATTGTGAGATCCCAGTGTTGGAAGAAGTTGGGCAATGGTTAAAAAGTAAAACAAAATTACTTGGAATCTAATGAACCTTAAAAAATTGTATGAGAGATATTGATGTGCACTAAGTAAATGGAATGTAATGTGTGATATAGAAGTTATGCAGGATTTTTCTGTTCTCTCACCAGTGTTTGGTTGTAAAGGACTGAAAAGCAATTATCCAGCAAATACTGCATTAGTATGATGTAGATAACATTAGTATGATGTAGATAATATTATATACTTGTTAAAATTTTCATTTAATCATAAGGCATCTTATGGATATCCTACTTAGGTTTGAAGATGACCATAAGCAAGTGGAATATAAAAAGTTTGTGGATGCAGTGAACTGGAGAGAGAATCAAATCCCTGCTTTCCAGACAATAAAGCTTCCTCCTCAGGTAAAACCATTATATTTGAGCAAAAGAAAAGTTAAAACTCAGCACATGAGACACTTGTGTAATTTGGGCAAGTGTAATGTGAGTACCTCATCCAACAAAGACTACAACAATTTTCAATTTTTCATATTTGGGCCTGTTTTCATTTTTGTGTCTTCATGTAATATATTTTTCTTTCCAGGCTTAGAATTAACCAAATTCAGTTCAAATTAATTCTGTTAGAATTAACCAAAAAGAGTTACAAAGGGAAGACAAAGCCTGTAACACAGTCTTGCTTACAGCGTGCCACATCTCTGTGATGTTTTTCTGGAAGAAAAAAAAAAAAGAGTGGGGAAACAAGTGTAGTTGTCCTTGAACAATAGGTGTGAATACCACTCCACCCACAAGTATTGTTGCAACATGTCAAATGCTCTGTTTGTCTTCTGGGATAGCCAGGAAATTCTTTAAACTCCACTGTCACCACAGAAAATAGCTATATATATATTTTTTTATAACTCTGTGGAAACTTGTATGTAACAGCACATCACTGGTAGGCATAGGCAGAATCAGTATTGAAGAATCAACTTTGTATATCTCTACCAGCCTGCTACTTAGGGTAAATAAATATGTGGCATCAACAAACTGCAGAAATTAATCTGATCTTGCCATCTTGTGCTGAATGGAACATTTTAAAATAGATGGTACATAAGGCAATTATACTGATTTTTTTTTTTTTTTTTTTTTATCTTGTAACAGATAAATATGAAGCCCTTCTGCCAAAATGTAGTTTTTCTATTCTGGCCTAGCCCATGTGTTGCTACACTTGTACAGAATGTGTTTGATTTTATTCAGACCACTTAGTAACACAGCATTCCCTTACATTTCAGTTCAACAGTGACATATTTTAAATCAACGTTCCTCACGTACTATGCTATTAACTTGGCTTCTCTCTCTTCCTTGGCTTACAAGCTCTTCTTTCTATAGCATCCCAAACTCTACATTGTCTAACCAGGGCCCTGCAATGCTGCTTTACTCTGCCTTCCGTAGTGGTCTATTTTTCATTTTCTGATTGGGAAGTATTTTTCTTTCTTGTAGAGAAAAAAAGTACTTCCATGTGTTTTCTATAGCAATCCTGTGCCTATGGAGTAGGTTGTATTCCGTGGGTATATTTTTTTTCTCAGAATAATTATGTTTTTAAGCTATTTTGATATTTAAAATAGTGCTCGCTTTCAGGAGAGTCTGCCAGGGTAAGGGGACTCAAGGGCCTTGGTACTGTGCTAATGAAAGAAAGTCAGAGCCTGTGCCAGGAGGATTTTTGCCTTGGAGGTGGTGCTAAGCTTCATAAAAAAATCGAGACTAAAATAAGCAGACACATAGATACACTTTCTGTTTAATGTGTTTGACTGTTTTTTCCTCACAGCTGTATGGCTTATCTAGCCATTGAGCAAGACTTGCTTTCCGGCAGGTGAGGGAAAGAGAGGGCTCCTATGGGGTGAAGCCAGTGTGCAAGCAGTGGTGGTACTATGTATATTTTAATGAGGAGGTAATAAAGCAGATCAGGAAAAGATCAGTGAAAGAAAGGATTTGAGTCTTGTTAAATTTTTCAGCTTTGGAATCCGTTAGACACTCTTTTCATTACTTACTTTGGATTAACATTGATATCTTCAGATTATAATGTCTGTATTTCACAGATAGATTTTAGCAGCAGTGTTGTGGTTTTTTTCTTCATTTTTCTTTGGTGTGGTTTTTAGTATTGAATCGTAGATGACTTGTAAGGTTTTCAAATATAAGTGTCTTAATGAAGAACAGATAGCATTACTTAATTTGAAATATCTGCAGAAGGCTGAATGACAGAAAACACACATTTAATAAAATATTCTGCAAGATTGTTAAAGATGTTCATGTAATAATGTTTTAAGAGGATGTGCTATGTAAAGGTCCACATGTTCACAGAATATTTGTATGAAGAAGTGAAGCAGCACATGCAATCTTAGTTGGCCAGCTTTTAGTTATTGCTGTTTCCAACATTATATTCTAAGATACTCTCTGTGTTACTAATTTCAGAATGAAGATAACTGGAACAGACAGCCACCATTCCTTCCCGTGAAAAGAATCAAATACTTGCCTCTCCTGGATGACCTGTTTGGCAAAGAAGAATGATCCAAACTGTGAAAGTCACTGTTTTTGGATCAGTGTTTCTGCTCCAACACTTACTTAGATATTGAAGACCTGTCAGGTTAAACAAAAACAAGACAGATACAGGTTTTATTACATTTCTTACTTAAGCATATGTATGTACTTTGTGGTTTTTTAACTCCTAAATCAACAGTACTCTTTAATGCTTATGTGAGCACAATTAAAACAATAATCAGATGGTCAGATGGAGAATATACAAGCAGCAGCAATTGCTTGAGTCAAATACAGCAAAATCAGACTGACCTTACTTTGTTCTGCTAACAGAGGAGGTTGTTGGATGACCTCTTGTAATATTAAGTCAGATAGAATTGGCTCAGTAAGATAATTCTCTTCACAATTCGTCTGTTGCTTTTTATCTTCTGTTTTTTTGCTATACCCATATAGTAATACTTAAGTGCTAAGTTTGTTATTTTACAGAGGAAGTAGTTGCAAGATTTTAGAACAATGTCAGTTTGCTCTGGTATGGGTGATAATTATAACCTTGTAACATAGAAGCAAATTTCTTGCAGGCCATGTACAAAAGCTATCAACTCTTGGTTTTTGTTTTAGATGCAACTCAGATTGGTAAGTGCTCAGTTTTACTCAGGTGAGGCATGAATGAAGAAAAGGTATTCTGGTTCCATCTTAGTGAACTTCTTTCTTATTGTGGCACTGAACTTGTCCTTTGAAAATTGATACCTTTCTCTTTGTTCAAAATGGTGGTAACTAAGTGGAGCTCCTGTTAGCCTTTTTGTATTTTTAAGCTTGTGTCAGCTCAAAGCCACGGTTAGATCTCAATTTAATGTATGAGTTTGTGAGAAAAGGAATTACTTCTATTTAAAGGATGCAAGAGCTGTGGTGAAGGGAGGAGCTGACTCATCCACAGTGACTCTATGGTGAAGGGATTTGGTGTGAGTCTGCTGCTGAGAAGCTCACACAGTCAGTAAACTGAGAACCCTGTGCATTCTGTAATCCAAAATTGCAATTTGATGAGAAAGCTTGATGCAAAAGGATGAGAATTAAGCATTTTAAAATTCCCAGACTGAGAGAAAAACAGTAGTTCAAAGAATAATTTGAGTTTTTTTAAACTTATTGAAGTACTCAAAATTGTAGACAAGACTATGTACTACGTTGTATTCCAAAAGAAGAAAATAGTTTCTTACATGACAAGAAAATTATCTCATTGTGGGGATTGTGTCAGGAGCCAAAACAGTAACAGATTGCACTTGGAACCGTTTGATAAAAGCTGAAGCTTTTTAATCATGGCAGCAAAGCTGGATTTGGCACTTTAAATGAATACAGTTGCCCTCATAACTTTTTAATGTGCCCAGTCTTCATCAGGATATCTTTCAGTTGTTGAGATCTTGTACAGATGACAGTTTTGAAGGAAGAGAGTTTCCGAAGATTGAATTTGAACATTTAAAACTTCCCAAGTAGCTTTTAGAGACAGGAAATTTCCTTCATATGAAAAGGAAAAAGGTTAAAAAACAAACAAACAAAAGCATAACAAATGTCATACCATTTTGTGTACAATCCCATTTGTAGATCTGATCAATCATGGTCTGGTCTGGTCATGGTCGAGAATGGTGACTGCAAACTGGATCCTGTGCAGAGAAGAACTAGAAAAGTGGCCAAGAGAACAGAAATAAAGAAGACAGAAGAAGTGTGGCTTATTTAGGGAAACAAAATGGAGGCTCAAGGAGAATGTGGTTGCCATTAGAGAATTTGCTATGGGTATGTAATACAAGTAAGGAAAATGATCATTCAGTTCAGAACATTCAGAAAAAGTAGGTATGGTTAGCCATAAATTTAAACTGGACAGTAAAAGATGGTTTCCAACCTTCTAAAACAAAAAGGGTCCATAACAGGCTTCCAAGAGCAAAGAACCCCGTTAATTTTACCATTAAAGATGGATCATCTGATAAGTGTAATTTTAGGATATATTGCCTGTGATACTGAGGACTATTTCTGGTATTGAATGATTCCCCCTCTGCAGAGCCCATGGAATGTGGATTTTTTTTCTTTTAAAAGTAATATGGAATTATCTGATTTCTGATGTTTCAGTATTTCCTATTGATACTCTGCATATTTTGTTCACACCATTCTGAGTTTTGCTTCCCACTTCTTTTTCTCCTTTTTTCCATGTATTACTCATAACTCCACTGAGCACAAAAGGATCTCCCAGGAGCAGAGCAGACAGGGACTGAAAAATATTTTCAGTGCTTGTCACTGCGCTCACAGTGTGTCATATGCTGTGGTCTGATGTGTTGTAAACACATTTCAAAAGGTTTTATTTTTCACAAGCAGCAGCGCTTCCAGAAGGAAAAGCTCCAGCCAATGAGCAGTCCAAGAATACTCTTTGTACACTGTGACTTGCAACGTATGCTGCCCAGGATATTTCAACCTCTGCTCTAATCCTGCCACCAGCTTCTCTCTTTTCACATTGCTGATGGGGGACCTGAATGAAGACAATACCACAAGATAATGTTTCAAGATGGCAGGAGGCCACAGCTTTAAAGCATGCATTGCATAAAGAGAAAGCAGCCCTCACAGTTGCCATTAATCTCAGCTCTCTATCTCTGTAGGGGAGCCAAAGATATCTTCTTTCCACAAGTATCTGAGCCTTCCATGGCAGGAGCGAAGAGATTCACATTACGGTACTGCCTCCCCTTCTCCCTGCTGGGGTCTGCTGTGCGTTCAGTGTTAATTTTCATTTCCTGAACTTGGCATTTGAGAATAGAAGGCTTAAAGTTTTCTGCAATAGCTGCTGCAGCAAGAACAGCAGTGAGGATCTATCCTTGCGTGCAGATGGTGCACCGCTTAGCTTGCAACTTTGCGTCCATTTTTGCCTGTGTCCAGTTAAGTACTTGCTCTGCTCACCTGCAGGCAGGCTCCCACAGACGTGGTAGGCTCAAGCAGTCACAGACGATTGAACTTATTGCTGAGAAAAATAATATTTTTCCAGGTAATATTTTCCTGTGTCCTGCCTTTGCTGTATTTTCCTAGGTAGAGCCATTTGTGCCAATGTCAGACAGATCAAGTCTTTTTCATTTACATAAATGAGAAGATGTTGAAAGCTTCCTTCTGCATTTGTTCCTCGTGTTGATGGGAATTAATCCTACTTCGCAGCAGGAAAGCTCTTCACAGAAAAAAAAACCTAGGCTGTTGAATCCCAAGTCCACTCTCTGTGCCTTAGCACAGGATACAGTTTTGTTGCTCATTTTCCGTGGGCAAACTGCAGGGATCCTAATTCCACAAAAACAAAAGAAAATAAATAACAGAAGTTTTCAGTCACATGGCAGCAGTCAGAGAACAGCAATCCTTATACAGCTAATAATAATTTTTTGCCTCTTGCTTGCTGGACCCTTCTGCATGTCCCCATGGTTTGAAACCAGCAATTAACAATTAGAAAAAATGACCTGTGTTTCAACATCTTATACTCAGATGAAGGTTATTCAGTGATGTGGAGAGATGCATTAGTTCTTTAAGCAATAATGTCCTGTACCCTCCACAGTAGTGTATCCATTGCATACACCTTTCTTCCTCTTGAGGTGGCTTAGCTCTTCTCTTCTCTTCTGGCTCAGGCGCAAGTACAGAAAGCCCAAGGGCAATGAGAAAGAAAAAGCAATAACGTGTTTAGAAGGAAGTTACAATTACCAGGAGGAAGAAGATACTACACGCTGAGCTCAGTCTGATTTTAAAAATCCTTTTTAGGTTTTGGAGGTCAGAATTTTAAAGGAATTTTAGAGAGAACTATCTTGGAAAAAAAAAAAAAAAATCAAACACTTCCTTAAATTGCGATTTTCTCTGAATTAATTTCTTAATGTTGTTTGTATCAGTTGGTTACTAAGGCCCAGGTGGAAGCTGAACTCTTTCCAGGCAATGACCAGACAACCCAGAAAGGGCTGTGGGGGCACATCCCTGTCCCTACCAGTTTCCAATGTAAACTTTAAATCCAGTGAGGGAGTATAATCAAGAAGAGGAAGTTAATACAGGCACAGTTTATTAAAGATATAGATTTTTATATAAACTCTTTCTCTGCACATTTGAGTATTTCTGAATCATCTGGAAGTTTTTCCTGGCATGTATTGTGCATAAATAAGCTAGCTGTCCTGGTCTGCCCTTCTGACAGGCCATCTATCCTCTTTGCTCTCTTCCTCCAACAGGCTAGTTTCATATTAAGACCTACAGTCAAAGAGAAGTGAAGGAGCTGATTCAACTTATCTGATGCTGATCCTAGACAGGCAGCATGAGAGGATGATCTGTAACTGAACAATTAATTGCACAGCTTAATAGTGCTTGAGAGAGCTCCCACTTTCAAAAAAATCAGTTGGAAGAAGGTCATTGTCCTGAAAGCCAAAAGGAAGACCTTTTGCAGAGTGGCTACAGTGGATGGGATGCAGCCTTCTCTGTATTAGTGTGATGCTTACTCTCTTTCTCTTCTGATGTCTCCAGTGCCAATGTGCCCTAGCTCTCTTGATTCCTTACTTGCCAGTGGAAGGGTAGGAGGCACTGACTTGCCCACAGGGATGTCCATTGGAAGCATTTTATCTAAACAGCCCCTTCTTCCTACACTGACAGCTAGGTGCAAATGGCTGCGTTGCTGTTAGGTGAGATTAATTCCTTTCTTGGGTACATCAACACAATTAGAGGAATGCTGTCACCAGGCATGGTGACGCTACGTGGCCGCAGTGCAGTGACAGTAGTATGTGTGGGAGGGCTGAGGATGGTCCAGGTTGAGCTGGACAGGTCATGAACCCATATCCTTAATATGCATGTGATCCATCCCTTGGGCTGTTCTGCATTTCACCTGATCTCGCTGCCCACAGCTTGGTTCAGGCTTGGGATGGTGGGTTTTGGTCAAATTCCAGCTAGGCAAACATAAAAACTTGGGTGGATGTAAATGGAACCTGGATTTCTCCTATTAGAGCTCTCTGAGAATCTGCTTTAGCAAAGCATGTAAGTGTATGTGTAAGTCTGTCCCT